TTCTCTGGGTTTGGGGTGCTGTGAATGCTTAAACAAACTCTGGTGCGGACCAAAGAACCAAAATCTGGTCCGCATGAAAACTAGGTTCTCGGTTCGCTTCCATGTGCCCCAGAGTTCGGTTGGCCATAGGTGAACATGCAATCCAGACCAAAGTGTGGCTAATGTTAGCATTGCTAAAACACCAGCCTTCAGTCCTCCTTGCTTGTTAATGTCCACATGACTGTGCTTAATGTGGTTACACATCAGTCAATATGCAAGTTTAACCTGACACAGCCGACATATAACTTAATCTCCATTTTATGAATCAAACTAATGACAAACTATGTGCCATGCTATGGGGTGCCATTCTTTCACTGTCCTGTTGTTTACTCTCAGGTCATATTGCAGCATTAGGGTGGAGGCAGCAGCCACTGACCGGAGCTACAGCCCCAACTAGTGACCAGTGGCTACTGTACACAACATTTAACAGGCTTTGGTGTGCTTCACTGAGTGCAGTGTGAAAGCAAACCGACCAAATGAAAAACTGCTCTGAGTCTATCGAACTTGTGAAAGGGACCTTACTCTTCAAGAAAAAGAACCTTATCTGCAAAATTCCTCTCAATAATGATAGTTATATGATTTATTTTTAACTAAAATAAAACATAAATTGTGCTAAACTCTGAGCAGGGTTCTGTTAGCCTTTAGCTCCTACCTCCAATCCCCTCCATTTTCAACCTGAAACATCTCTCCTCTCTTTTCCCTGCCTATAAATCCTGTCTTCCTGCTCTTGTACATAAACTGTCACATTTCCCCCCACAGCAGGAACACAAAACAGTACAAGTAGCTTTACCCGAGGCCCCTCCTCCTCCCGCAGCCAGTGAGCCATATGGCCGATCGCAGATTAAAACCATTTGTTGTCTCCGCCTGCCCCACCCCGTGGATTACAGACCCGCAGAGGGAGAGCGGAGGAGGAGGAGCAGGAGGAGGAGGAGGGGATGATTTCATTTGCATATTAAGTCATGACTCTTCTCTTTAGACTTGGGATGAGCCAAAGAAAACATATTGCTCACCTGTACAGGGTCAGGCTTGACTTTTGGCTCGTTAAACCACACACACACACACACACACACACACACACACACACACACACACACACACACACACACACACACACACACACACACACACACACACACACACACACACACACACACACACATGCAAACATTGCCTCATCCCTCTGCAAGCCTAATAGGATGAGTGTTTGGGCAGATGATGGCTGTTTTAAGGGGAAATTGAATGAGACGTTAAGTGAATTACATCCAGCAGGAAGGTTAATGAAACTAAAAATGCTGAAAGGTGAAAGAGCAGTTGAAGACAAAATCAGATTGTGGACGTTTTAACTTGTGATTGAGCTAAGATAAACTGAAATGGTATATATGTGTGAGTGGTTGTGAATTTGTGACAGCTCATTGCAAAGTGAGCCAGCCTTTAAGTCAAAAATATGAATGAAAATGATTCCTGATAAGAAATGAAGTAAAATCTCAGGTTGGATTTCAACCTGGGCAGGCTTCTTGAAAGATTATAAACCTCTGTACATGGGGCGAATGCAAAAACCACTGGACTAACGCAGTGGTTTGCACATGTATGTGTAGTCTTCTTCTTGTTGATAATTATTTACGTTTAGAAGCCTTGATAGTTAGATTGTAGATAGAGCTTCTTTATCAACCTTTCCCTTTCTTAATTCTATCCCATCTGTTTCGAAAAAGAAGGACCTTTTTCCTTATAATCCAAATAAAAGCTAATCAGTGCGAATATTTCCAAATGTAAAAAGAATTATGATGAGCAAATAACACATGCCTCATACCTTAAAACGAATAAAGCATTCAAGCTAACATTCTTCAGATACTGTTTGCGGATCGATTTTGTTCAACCTAACTGCAGCTGAGGGACCAGTGTTTCTGTTATGTGCATGTATATATGATGCTGCTATGAAACATGACCTGCCTTCAACCCTCTACTGCTCCAATGACCTGCTATTTTCTTAAGAAAGCAGGTCAGTCCTCTCTCCTTACACCTGCAGGAGAGAACCAGAGCCCACCAGTTTACAGCTGGAGGTCTTATACAGCCCAACTTAAAGGCTCAGGTCATATCTTTTCTTTCATACCTTTTTATCACTTCTTCCCTTTTCATCGTTTGGCTGACTAATTTATTCTAAGTCGTTTTTAGCGATATTTTTAAAGGTCACATATTATGCGAGATACGCTTTAACATGTTTTTCTAGGATTATAAGTGTTTCTCATCTGTCTACAAACCCCCCAATAATGAGAAAAGTCCATCCTCTCCATCTTTTGTCTGCTCCACTTTTCAGAAAATGTGTGCTCAAACAGGCCGTTTGGAGAGTTTCCCTTCATGACATCACAAAGGGCATTAATCCCTCCCCCAGGTGGGTGACACTCCCACAGCTAGGTGTTTTTTCTGCCCTCTGAGTCTGTCTTCTCACCGTAAACAATAGGACATGGAGCGAGAAAGCCCCAAGCCCCTCCAGAGAGGGGGCGGGGTCAGACACAGCTCATTTACATATTTAAAGGTACAGACACAGAAACAGCCTGTTCTGAGCAGGGCTGAAATAGAGGGGTTTACATGATCAAATACAGGATCAGAGTGGATTTAGAACAAGAAACTTCACACACATATTTTGAAGAGCTCTGAGACTTATTTACACCGGTTGAAGAGGAGGAGAATATGTGACCTTTATGAAGTAACACATATTGTTCATTTTTGCTTGTTGTGGTTATTCAAGCTTGTTGCTGTAAACGTGATCATCATGTGGCTGCTTACTCAGTTTGTATTCATTCATTCATAGAAAACTCCAAAGCTGCTTTCTCATGTGCGCTCTGTGAATCTCAACAATGACGGGCCTTTCTCCCCACGCTCACATATTCAGTGAATGAGAATTGTTGGTTGATATGTTACACAGAGAGAGTACTGTGTGACCTAGAAGGCTGAAAGTCATCAGTGACTTTAGCCTCTTTGCTGTCATCAGAGAAGGATAAGAACACAGGGTGAATACAAACATCGAAAGGGGGTTACCCAAACAAGGACCTGATGTCTGAAGCTTCTATTAAACTGAACACTATTAATTCTGTCAACTGATCAATGGCCGTGAAAAGGTCTGTGTCACTTTAATTTGCATTCAGTCCAACAGGATCAATAACGCTGTGCTCGGGGCTCCAGTCTGACACAGATCTGCATTAACACAACACCTTTCTGCTGCTGCTGAACTGTTCATGACACGAGGTCCAGCGATGCCCACAGAAACTCAAGCAACGACGATTGCTGTCGCTGTGAAGGAATCCCTCCTGCGGTGATCCAGGGTGGCAGGCGGTATGCGGTGTTATCGCTCCCCCCCCATTTTTTATTCATGTCGCAAATTTATACTTGAATCAGGAGTTGGCAGCAATAAAATCTGTCCTGCAAAATTATTTTCATCATGCCTTTTATGTATTTCATTATTTTCTAAACAACAACGCCAAGACAATCAGTGACAGACACAAAACATCCCCGCCATGGAACAGTGTGTGAGCAGCTCTGCAGACAGTAGACAGCGCCTGGTGCTGAAACAAAGCACCATTAGGCAGCAGCGATTATCACCAGAAATCCTTTCCTCTTTAGCTTTTGCCTACAAAAAAAAAGCGCAGGGCAGTTCGTCTTTTACAAACCTGTACAGTGACTACATAATACAAAACGTAACGAGAGAGAGAGCTGAGCTTGCGTTTCCTTTAAGCCTGCATCAAACAACTTTTTTGTTAGTGGACTAGTCATCGATTATGGAAACGATTAATAGACTATTGAGGTTTTGCACAATTACTTAATGGCTCTTATTTAGTTATCAGCGTCTAAATTGAACATCACTCTGTCAAATGCAGAGGTCAAACATATTTCTGCCCGAGCTTTAAACATATTGATTGTTAATGTAAGACAGATCATTTTGTTTTAAAAGAGCCTTGATTCTGTAGTATTATGGTCAGAGTTTTCTCCACTGTTTAGTGGTAGGAGTTGAGACGAGAAGTCAATAAAAAGATGAAGTGTTGGAGGTAAAGCTGAAGCACATGAGCAGGTGTTCAGGAAGCATGCATGTTAAAAATGTGGATATCTTTTCAGTCTGGGTGAAGGCATTTAGGGAAAAGGTAACCTGCACCCATGTGACCTTTTCCTAAATGCCTTCACCCAGACTGAAAAGGTTACCAAAAATATCTGCATTTGGTGGGCGGCAGAGGCTAATTTCCAACCCTGACAAACACACACAACTAGCTCTCTCTCACACACAAGTAGCTCTACTTCTCTCATGTAATCAGTGCGACAAGGTAAAATCATTCAAAGCACTGTCCATTTTTCTTCAATTTTCTTTCAGTACTGCATACAGCGTACTCTATATGTTGCACTGTACAGCCCTGTGTGTGGTCCAGTCAGAGTTGTCTATAATGGTATTTTTTGAATAAAAACATTAAAATCCTGTTCACAGGAGGCTCAACATGTCTTGCCCTTGTTTTGAGATATTGAATCATACCTATGACAGAATGTTGCATTTCATATTAGCTCTAATTATTAGCTCTTAAAGGCTGTTTATTATGCCATACTTAGTGTGTCTGTGTTGCCCCTCCCCCCTCCTTTTTTGGCCTACTGCCATATGCAGACCACCCTCTCTCTGCTCTCTCTCTGCATGCATAACTGAGCTGGTGGGTGTAAAAATAGTTCGGGTTGGGGGAGTGGGGAGGGGGTGTCAGTCAATGGTCAGAGCTTGCACTGTGCTGGTGACAAGACACACAACTCTAGTTAAGTGGTGAGACAGGTCCTGGAGCTCTGAGACTGAGGGGTAGTAGTGAGGACTGGCCTGGACTGAGGGGTTCGCCCCCCCCTTGGATGGAAGCCTTGAATTTAGGGGGAGGGGAGGAAGTGGATTATCAGAGTGATTAGAGATCCTTTACGTTCTGATAGGATTTACTTGTAAACCTTGCATCATGGGAAACGCTGCCATGTGTAAGGTGTGTGGCTCAGAGAAGGGCCTGAGGACCAACAGGAGTCTGTCTAACCTGGACCAGAACACTTGGCCCGACTACTACTGTGAGGAGCACTTTCCTGTGCAGCCTCCACTGATGCTGGTAAGAGACCGGACATGCAGGGAGGTGCAGCAGAGTCTTTCAGGATGTTAGTGCAGAGCTGTTTTTAGGAGTGTTTTAGGGGATTTTGCAGATGGGAAGGTTTAAAGTCAGATGTTCTTTTAAGCGGAAACTTTGAGGCAAGTGGAAGAAAGTGTCAGCTCTTGCTTTTAAATCCTCAGCTATTTTTGTTTTATTCTCCATTTGAATGACAGTACCTGCAAATGACACACTGCTAAACTTGCATGCACAACTTCTCATATTAGACACCTTTGCAACTAGCTGATAGATTCTTCTTTTTCCAGTGACAGCATCTGTAAAGTTCTTTGGACTTAAAAGATTCAGGTGTTTGAGCTGTTTGAGGAGCCTGTGTGTGTGTTAGTGTTTTGGTCTGTGTGTGTGTGGGACAGGGCGGGGTGTTGGTACCTCTCCTCTTCCTTTAAAGGCCGGTGTGACATTTTTGTTCCTAAAGTGTCCGTGCACAGCAGCATGTGGACTCTGGTGGCTAATTTGAAAAGAGATGTAATGACTTTCGCAGCATGCCGCCACTGCTGTGAGGCTGCAGGGAATATGAGGGGGGAAAAAATCACAAATGAGGTCTGCTGCTGAATGTTAATGCGCAAGTGCAATATACATAAAATATTATAGCCGGAAATGTATTGGTTATTGCACGTTTTCCCTCCAAAACCCTGAATTACGTTGCCTTTAGGCCTCCATTATATTTGAAAAAACATGCAATGTGCGATTAAATTGTTCAATATTGCGATAATGATATTCACAGGTATAAAAGTAAATTTCAAAGAGCATCTAAAGCAAATGGAAGTATCTGGTAGTCTGCTAATAAGGTCTTTTGACACCTGAACTTCTGAACCTGAAGACCTAAAAAGTTGTGTTGTATATTTGACTGATGTTAGTCAGTGGCTGACATAGGAGGGTCCAGACGGCCCTAATTGGTCCGTTTGTAGGAGGACGTGTTGGTGGTGGCCTGACAGCCTGCAGTAACCCCATTCAGCTGAACTTCTGTTCAACTCCTTCTTTTGAAAGAGAGACGATGTGAGGATAAACATGAGGAAAGTCTGTGACACAGCAAACAAAGCTGGACTTGAGTCACGCATGCAGTTATGTTTGCTTGTTTTTGTTATTGTTATCATCACAGCAATTTTTTTGCCCTTTTTGCCCTTCCACAGATAAAAAAAAACAAACTGAGAAACAGATTTAAAATGTAACTTTCCTAATCACTATTTACTGTCTGTGTTGTAGATATTCTGCTGTGATCTCCTCTAAATTAGCATCCAAACCACTTGATGATTAAGCTAGGGGCTTGGTCTGAAGTCATCCACTCATTCACTCCTTCCTGCTCACATACTGTATGGTTAGATTTATGTAGATAACTACATGATTTTAAAGAATCAGACTCTAGAAGTCTAATTATTTCCTTCTTCTTTCAATGCATAATAGAACCTGCTCTGTTCACTTCTTCTTCAGATGCATTGTGGAAAACTTTGAGTCTGCTAGATAGGGTTAATGAATCCCAAAAAAACAAATATATATTGACTTTGAGTGGTGCATGAATTAGGACACAGCCTCAGTCTATTCTGGAGGCTGCTGCATCTTGACCCTTGATCCTTGCCCCCCCTCTATCACTGATCTACAGTTGTCATGTGCCACTTTAAAGTTTTCATCTTTCATTTAAGTTATAGTAATTAAAGGCACATTAAGAGGGGAGTTATTCAAGATGCATTTCTTACTATTTTTATTTAAGTTTTGGTAAATTGACTAGAGCTTGTGTAGCGCCTTCTAGTCTTGTGACTACTCAACGCAATTTTACACTGCAGGTCACACCTACACATTCACACACTGATGGTAGAGGCTGCTGAGTAAAGTGTCCATCAATTTATACCTGTTCACAGTAAGTGTCTTGCCCAAGGACACATTGGACATGTGGCTGAAGGAGCTGGGGATCAAACTCCTGACCTATGGTTGAGAGACGACCGACTACCACTGGGACACAGCCCATTGTAATATAAAAAATAGCATTGCCACTTTCAACCCCAACAAAATGTCCCTTTTGCTCCTTACTAAGCTTTTAAGAATAGTTCATACTTTAGATGTCTGCTTTATAATTAAGTCGTACCAAAGGACAGATGATTGTGTCTTTGTGTCTCTGTCAGATAAAAAGACTTAATATTTGTTACATAATGGGCTGTTTATGTTTAGAAGACCTGACAGTACACACAGCTGCACTGGAGCAGTTTTATCAAACCCCCAGCTATCTTTATTTATTGCTAACTAATGATCCTCCTGGTCCATTACTGATGTACTGTATGCTGATAGGTCCACAGGGACAGCTCTGATTGGCTGGGAACAGCCCGAGGCCATTTGCAAGTCTTCTTTGAAGGCTGGATTAAACGTATGCAGGTCAGCTGACATCGATCAGAATATCAATAAAGGGAATGACAACACAGGGAGGGTGATTGTGATGAGTATACACCAGGATCTTCTTTAGTCCTAGTTATGTCGGCTTGAGCTCAATGAATGTTCCGTTTCTGTCTGTTTAACTTACAAACATTCAACTAATTTTCAAGTGTTAGTAGATGGACAAAGTTCCCTTTTGCTTTTCATATGGACACACAAAGTAGCTTTTTTCTGTTTTGAAGTGCCTGTTTTATGGTAGCAGTAATTGTTTGTTTTACTTGTCCGTTATTGTCAGCTTCAAGAAACCCTTAAGATGCTGTTTCAAGGTAGCATTTAGGAACTGTTTCTATGTACCCTTTTGTGTTGTATCAAGGAAGCCTTTGGTATCACTATCTGTACAGTTGCTATTTAGCCTTTGTATGAAGTACTGTTGAAAGTCTGTGTACTAGAATCCTCTTGTATTCGTTTAAAGGTACCCATATGTCTCTGATCTTAAACGTTCAATGCAGCCAGTATGTCCTCCTAAGTTTAGGTCCTGAATGGTCTGCAGTTCTTTTGATCAAAGAAGGTAGGCGGTTTTAAGTCACCCCCACACAGATGACTCTTGGTTTGCCAGGCAACCGGCAAACCAACAGGTGTTGCAGCGATGGAAGCTGGTAAGCACATTGGTTCAGATATTTCTGATTCTACCGGATATAAAAAGTCTCTGCATGTTTCTAATAAGATGGAGATAGGTTGAACGCATAAAGGTTTACAGACTGATGCAGAGCTGGCTAAACACTGACGCTTCAGTGTCCACGACATGGCAACCTGCGTACACATCGACTGTAGTGAGGAAGGGGAAGGGTAAAATGCTAGGTGTCAGAGTAAAATATTGCTTCTTGAAGGTTTCCTTGCATAGTCAATTTCAAGGTATCTATTGGCAGCTTCACTTCACTTTAAGCTGCTTTTTCAAGCTACCCTTAAGCTTCTTTTTTAAGGTTATGTTCTTCCTTTCTGGTAACCATTTGGTAGCGGTGAAAATGTCTGATTTTTTTTGTGCAGGCCTCCAAAGTTCTTTTAAAGTTTAGATAAGTCAATGAATGTTTGACTTGGAATACAAAGTCAATGTTGACCTTTTTGTTTAACATGGTACAAAAATCTTGATGTCCTACGTAGGAAGTCCTATGTTTTTCATGCCGTGGCTCCTAGCAACCAGCTAAAACAGACTTTATCAGTGTTTTTATTACTTAACCTGACCTCCTACAGGATATAAGATTCAAGGTTTTTCTCTGATTGTCTAAATTGGCTGCTGATGTGTCAAAATTAGCTTACAAGTACATGGGTAATGCCGTATAAAAAAATGCACTTTTAGTGGAAAAGAAAAGTCTCCTGAAGGATTTGATCATATCACTGGTAATGCTGTGGGGTGAAAACCTATTTATAGTGTTTTATTTTTCTATATGTTGTTTTTTGTAGCTCTTATGGCTATTGGATGCCTTGATTGAAGTGCTGTCATAATCTTTAAACTGCGGGTGTGTTCATGGATTAATCTGTGCATGGCAACCCAAAGGAGCTTTTAGTATCAGAAACACACTCACAAACAGAGCACCGAAGGGAGAAGTGCTGTTGCTAGTAAACACAGATAGTGTTATTCTGTCCTGACAGCTAGGATCAGAATGTGCTCCTTCAATCAGACAAACAAGGACACATCTATGAGTGTCTTATTCCTGCTCTCATGTTGGCCAGACGTCTTTCACAAACTGTTAGAAATGGTTACCTTTGGAATACATCACCACAAACTATTGAGCGATAAAATAGACCTACCTTAAAGTTATTTGGTAGAAGTGATGGGAGCAAGGGTTAACCATTTGTGTGCTTTAAGACACATTATCACTTTTGAAAATAGATTTAGTCTGCAGTGTTGTAGTACTCTTTAAAGGTCTCTGCCTCATCTCGAAATCAAGAGCATTTTACTTGGTCATGTCCGGTTCTCAGACTGGACAGGCTTCGGATTTTAAATCAAGACAGGTCAAGACCACCATTGATAGGCTCTTTTTCCAAATCCTTGTTGTGATTAGAAGGAAAACGCCCCTTATTTAAAAGAACAAATTACTTCAAATCATTTGTAGTTAGATTTTTATCCCCTGGTTATGGCTGCAACCTTCCAGGTGTAATGGTCTGAGTGACACGCCTCCTGCACAATAGATAATGATTTTTAAATTATATTTATGGTCTTGGTCTTGTCTCGGTCTCGGAGCTCTCTGGTCTTGGGTATGTCTTGGTCTCGGTTAGTGTGGTCTTGACTACAACACTAGTCAGTGTGAAAGCTTCCTTTGTCGTTTGGAGAATAGACTGTACATATTAATGGAGGAAGCCTGAGTGACATCACCCATCTGTTCCTGCAGGGGGCACTGGAGTCCTATCGATAACGGTGGCCATGCTGGAAAAACTTTCTCAACCTAACTTTCAGTAAACCTAACAACAGGCTGAGAGCTGGAGCTGAGGCGGGGATTTTTGAACCAGGATGTAAACATGTACATTTCTGCTGTAAAAACTGGCTATTTTGAATGGGTGTGTATGTGACTTCCTGTGCTTCTGCAGCCAGCCTCAAGTGGACACTTAAAGAATTGAAGGATTTTGTCATTCTGCATTAGCTTCATTTTTCCACACCGGAGGTAGCCGCTTGGTTTGAAGCAGACACTCACGGTTATGGAAAGTTGAATGACTCTTGTGTTATTGTTCGTACGTTTTCTCTCACTACTCTTCCTTTTATATAATTAAACAACTAATCAGAACTGAACTGCACAGTGATGAATACTAAGACATTAAGCAACATAAGAACTGACTTTAACAACAGAAACCAGGTTTGAGAGTTTGATCTATGTACCATCTGTTCACATGGAGGAGGCGGGGCTTATGACCTTTACTGTAGCCAATCAGTTCCAAATGTTTTGGCTTCACTTTCAGAGAGCCGTCATGTCGTCCATCTTTTTGTACACCGTTTATGGTTAAATAATCAAACTTGGGATGAATATAAGTTATTGTGTGAAGCTAGAACTTGGTAGTAAAATGTGGCTAATTTGCCAAAAAGTGCATTAGCAAACAAGCTACAGAGAAAAGTTAAAATTGTCTGTCAGGCTTGTTGCTTAAGAAATGGTAAATGCTGGGTTGGAGAAAGGGAATTAATCCATCTATGTTTGTGTGTTCCTGTCTGGTCTATTTTTGTCCACACAGTTTGTTCACTTTTTAAAAAGTGTAAAAGTCTCTTAAAAGTTAATCCGACATCTGAGAATATAACCCTGATGGTATGGTGCGCTGCTGTTTTAACAGACAGATCAAAAGGAAATAACACCTTCATTCTTGCTGTGCTTACTTTGCTAGTTCCACTGACAGACATTCTTGTTGTCATGGTTACATCAAGAAAGGGGTTGTGCTTGTCTTTGTGGTAAATGGGAGCGGAGGATGCTCCCAGCGTGGGCACTGGTGTTTCTCTGTGTGTGTGTGTGTGTGTGTGCGCAGGGGTTAGGGGAGACTGGTTTGCATTATTGATAAAGCCCCTCGCTCTCCTCGGATGATGATGTCGACTTTGTAAATGAATGTTTGATGTAATGTGTCGGTGGAGGAGCTGTAGGACTGTGCGTTGTCACGCTTGGCAGGTTTGATTGAGTCATGAAGTGACGTGTCTAGACACGACCTCAAACAGAAGCAGGGATAGATTGTTATAAAGCGAGACGTAACCAAATACAAGCAGATATGACCCAGACAGTGATATACTGTAGGAGGTTTTTTTGGGAGTTTTTGTTTTTCATTTTACCCAAAGAGGAGTTCTGTTTTTTTTTTTTCTAAATTATTTTGGGGCCTAAATGACTTATAGGTCCAATTTTATTAGTAGAATTGCCACAGAAGATGACTTTAAAACCATGGATATGGGCTTTGATGGCTGAATTTGATTTGCCACTGACAGGGTCACATAAAATAATCTGAAAACATCTAGGCCTGGACGATATCGATAATTGATTGTGGTCGAATTTTTCTAAATATAAATTTAACAAATGTTGGATACAAGTTTGATAGATTTAAACATGTAATTACACCACCCAAACATTGGGGCAAGAGGGGCACAAATGCTCCTTAAACGCTAGCTTCCACCCAGCATTAAAGAGAAGAAGAAAAAAGACAGGGTGAGAACAGCCAATCATAACGCAGGAATAAGGGTAGGCAGCAGCGGGATTGAAACTTAGCAGAAATGAGCCATAGCGACACTGAAGAAATTGCGGTGCCTACCAACTCGAAGCAGGAGAACACAAGGTCGCCTAACTCTAACCCTTTCAGCGATATACCTTTTTGTTAAAAAGTGAGAGGCCATTTTGACCTGAAAATGCCCTCACTCTCTTTCAAAAGCCACCAGACTCCATTGACAAAAGCAATCATCTTACCTCACAGCACAAGGGAGTTGCTGATCTACCCCTGTCCTAGTCTGTCTAGTCTGGTTGTTTGTTCATTCTATTGTGTGATAGCATTGAGTGGATCCAATATTATAAATGTGTTGAACAAAGAACACAAACACTAAAGTCAGTGATTACATTTTCTTTATTCAAAGCTACCAACGCAGTTTAGAAAAATAGGGATTTTTTTTGATCTACAGGTTAAATTGACAGTTTTTGTCAATAAAGTCAGGCACCCTTAAAGTATGAAACTGTCTGTTTTGGTTGGGCATCTTACCCTCTTATAAAAGATCTTACCTATTAGACACAAGTTGTGTTGGGTAGTTAAAACGCTCTCAATACTACTATGAGTCTGCAATAGGAATGAAAAGCACTTCTTGGGGACTTACTTTGATCTGGTTAAAAAATGCCCTGAAAGATGACGGGGTACAGATGCAGCCTGGTCAGCCTGTTTCGAGGCTGAGGTTATGTGCAGGAGCAATTACGAAAGTTTTGATAGGTTTGTCGTTAAGACCCAAATAAGTGAAAACAAAGCAAATGTTTAAAACAATATAACATCTTCCTCCGACTACCTGTCTTCATCTTAGAAATGTTTAAAAGTGGAGAAAGAAGCAGAAAATCTGTGTCCTTCTTTCTTGACTCAGCTTCCTTTATTTTCTTTATATTCTTATTCCTTTACATGTTATATTGCAGATTCATCCCTGACATGACCTTCATGTAACTGTGTGCGTTCATAAAGCTGTTTTTCTAAAGTGAAATCATTCGTCCAATCAAAGAGAGTGACGGACTGACTAAGCTTCTTAAAAACAAGGAGTTATGAAACTATTCCTGTGGGACGGCGGCTGCAACAATTCATCCGTTCTCTCTAACGATCAGTGTACTTTTCATTCAAAAGACCCACTTGTCTGCAAATCGTGATGGTCAAAGTGTTACCATGGCAACCAGCCAGTCGCAGGGAGGGTGATGAGGTCAAGGTCTTGCATAATGTGTGACTCTCTGGAGGGAATATAAGGATATCATCAGACAGGCTTTATGATGGTAATGGGTGCTTTGTGCGGCACAGTTAGAAAACAAAGCTAACGCTGTAAGAACATGTATGACGCTGTAGGAACCAGTTTCCCAGGACTCCCCCCCCCCCTCATTCTGCAGGACTAACCAATCAATCCTGTGGGGACAGGGCCTTCTCCATTGCCACTCCCACACTTTGTGCTTTGTGAAGGGTATTTCCAGTTCCTGACATATGCTTAAACACAGGACAAAAAGTGATATGTGTTATTTTTTTAAGAGTTGATGCGTGTCACTACCATGAAGCACAGCGGTGACATTTGCGGTTGTGATCCGTGTAAACTTGTAATTTGCAGAGATGCTGCCAGTGTTTATCGCCCTTTACAGCTGTGACCTCAGTTCTTCCAGTTCAAGGAATCAGACCTTAAAGTGTGACAGAAAAATTCAACTAGAAAGGAGCCAGAATGAGATTTAAAAGACTGATGTTGGATGCATTTCTCTGCATGCAAAAGAGAAAGTTTAGCCTAGCTTAGCACAAAGACTTGAAACAAGGGGGAACTGCTAGCCTTGTCCTACCTAAACCTTAAGTTATTGTTATGTTGCAGTATGATTGTATTCCCTATTAAAATAATGTTCAAATTAATTATAACAATAAGTTTTGAAGGGTCTCTGAGCTGCCCCTGGGCCTCCTTTCATTGTAGCGCTGCCATGCAAATCTGCTCATTTTGTCCAAACATTTCCAAAAGTTGTCAACTGTTTACTGTAAACCAGAAAAAAAGTCTTCATGTACACATGGTGGGCTTACATTTGACCAAACATGAACATACGTGCTGTCCTTTGAGTTGATCTTGATCTTGTGACAGAGTTGCAGAAAACTCCAGCAGCAGTGAGTCTGATGCAGTGCAGTTCTCTGCAGCAGCCAGACAGCCGCTGACTGCAGGTCATCCAGAAACATCACACCTGCACTGTTTGTACGTGTCTGAAGGAGACATCAGTGCCGCAGAGTCACTGCTCGGTTACACATCATCAGTTCTGCAGTCCTCTGGTCTCTGCAGGCAGGTTGCACGTTGCCTCTAATGTCTGTCAACACTGAAAAAGCTTACTTGTGAAGATTTAAGGCAAACTATGACCTTGACGCTAATATTAGACCATCCCTCGGCTTAAAACAAACAGAGCAGCTGCTAAAGTGTCGACCAGCTTTCGATTCACCACGATTATGATATGGTGCTACAGTATTTGTGTATCAGACCTTTGACCTCCCTGTGGATGGAGTAGCGCAGCTTGAATGCAGTAAAAATAAGCATCACAGTGTTTTTTTTTCTGCAGGACGAGCAGAGCGCTGGGAGCTCTGAACACGTTGTGAGCGAGCCAGGATTTCGCTTTAGTGAAGAGGAAAAATGCTGAATCATTGCGCCTCCTTACAGCTCTGGTCTGCTTCCAAATGCAGCTCAGTCAGCATCCAAAAACAGACAGGGGACAAAGCTTGGACACACACATTATTGTGCATCAGGGAACCAAAAACATTTCTTATTATGACTGCACAATTACTGCAGATGATGATTTATTGTGGTGTTCAAATTAAGCCCTTTTAAGAATATAATTACTCCTTTAAACTCAAACATGTCTGCATAAAGCTGCATACATTGACAATAATGTTCATGTTTATTGGATTTTTCCAAAAAGGATTTTTGGGAAAGAATGTTTGACGTTTTGTAGACAGATTATAAAAATGTACTTCTCCTTTTTCTCTTCCAGTCCGACAGTAACACCAGTTTCCTGCGAGCAGCGAGGGCAGGAAACATAGACAAGGTTTTGGAATATCTGAAAGGAGGAGTGGACATCAGCACCTGCAATCAGGTAAGAGAAACAAAACATGAGGACCGTCACAGCTCTCACACTCTTTATGTCTGCACAATAGGAAAAATAACACTTTTTGTTGGAAGTGGGGGTTGACAATATGAAGCACAAAACATCAAAAACAATGCAGCAAAACAAACAAGACCAGACCAATATCCAAGAGTCTGTTGCCCTTGTTCATGCTAGAATTTTTTTAGTAGTGTAAAATCCAGAATATAAATCTCACTTGTATACAAGACGCAGTCTGTTGTTGGGGTCTCCCAGAGAGAATTAAGGTTGAAACTATCTTTCTTTGTAAAAATTCTTGGTTTCATATCGGGAAACTTTCGCATGATTTGCAGGATAAGCTGCTTTAGCGCCCTCTGCAGACTTATCCTGGGATTACTTCAACATACGTTTTCCTCGAGATCTGAAACTGTGCCCACGTTTAGTTTTTGCATCCAGTGTTAGTAACACTAAATGTGAGTTTAAAATGTGCGTCAGCATAATAGTTCAGCCTTAACTCACAGGTTATGTTAGTCTATTGCTCTCTTTACTGTGTTGCATAACATCCACAGGATGCGTTATTCAAACAGGTGCTAATATGCTCCTGTTGTCCATCTATTACTTTTATTATGAATGTAGTTCTCCATTCCTGCAGGGGAGAGGACTGTGTTAGATCTTTATTTAGGCCTCATCATTATCTAGTCTCCTCTAAGAGCCATTAGCATTCCAGCCATGAATGAGGGGGGTGGGGGGGGTGGCTGCAGTGAAACCTGATAGGAGGTAAACAGTCCCAGCCTGGTAACAGTCATAATGACCATCCTGGTAAACAGAAGTGACATGGAGTGGAAATGTAAGATTTGCTGACCACTCTGCAGCGGTGTGTGGAGAACGATGTTGGCTTTCATACATCAGTCTTCAGGCTATTGACAAGGCAATTGTAACATTGTATTGAAGATATCTTAAGTGCCTTTTTAAGCAGGATTTTAAATGGCTGGCAAAAGAGCCAACGAGTTGAATCCCACACTAAATCATGTTACTGATTTAAACTTATAGCAACACAATGTAACTTGATCACCTTAAAATAGTAGTTTGAAAGTCCATTAACTAGGGGGATAGCATCCCTGCCATCCACAATGCTACCTGATTGGCTGTTTACTGAACTATGTAACTTTGGCCCATGGATATCATGACAACAATTGAATACACACACACACATATACTCTTACTACACATATACTCTTAATCCGGTAGCATAACTGTATCTTGTCAGTCGACATTGTTCTCGGCTTCTCTCAGTGCCGTTGTCAGCTTGTCAACAGATGCAGGCTGTCTAAGAGGGGTAGGCATAACAGCGCTCTGTGTGTCTTACGGCAGTGCAGTTGCACTCAGGGACCTTTTTCCAAATTCCTAAATATTGTTGCTTTAACCCTTAGTGACAGGTCTTGTTGATTTTGGAGTATATCACAGTCCTGACAAAAATCATGTTTGTATGAGCATGACATATTTGCAAAATTGTGATAGAAGATCTCAGAGTTAACTGAATTGATCAATGATGATTACCAGTGTTGTTGCAGGGTGGGCACAAGAATGAGAAATGAACCATTACTCTAAAAAAAGGGTCTCTTTGTAACACTGAACTGGACCCTCATGACATGGAAAGTCAGGTTGTTATTGATGTTTGACCCTGAAAACACACACACACACACACACACACACACACACACACACACACACACACACACACACACACACACACACACACACACACACACACACACACACACTGTATGATGTTCAAACATATCACTCACATTGTCAGAAAAGTAGAGAACATCAGTCAGAGCTGCACACGTCAAACCACTGGAGAGTTCAATGACTCCATTACTGTGATGGAGTGCTAGCGATGGTCCAACTAGTTAATAGTCGAGCTTTTAGTAACCTGTCTCATCCTCTTTTTGATTTATGGTGGATTGCATCTGTTGCTGTTTTCCTGCATACAGTAAAAAAACAGCTGAAACTTGAGGGGTTATACTACTTGTACTACAAACTGAAACCAGAATATATCCAGTGATTTTTCATTGGCGCCATATTGAACTCAAGTCATAAAAGCGGCATCAACTTCATATCCCTGGCAAATACAGGTTTTAGGTTCATCTCAACACAATGTTTGCTGTGTAATTCACAATACATTCCTGTCTGTAATAGCCAAAGTAAAACTGCAGTTAAAGTTTGGGGGATAAATAGCTTGTTAATATACTTCACACCTCAAATATTGTTCAAATTAACACATCATGTCAGTGTTTACCGCAGTAGTTGGCTTAGGTGCTGTAATATGAAATGCTTGATACAGTATCTGAGACCCATCTGGGACATCAACTTTAGAAAAGTGAAACAAATCCTTCTGTGAATAACAAGTTTGCTGTGATTTACAGTCACATTCTTTGTCTCATATAAGCAGACAGACACAGTTTGACACCAGCCGGTAGACATAGTGGAGGTCTTAGCATTGAAAAAAACAGATTATTTTCTCAGGAAGTGGTTGAGACCAAAACTGGGCTAGAAGTTTCCACAAACCTGGCTCCAACTTAATGCTTATGTTGCTCTGGCACCTCTGGAACTGTACAAATGTACATCAGTTTGAGATGATTGTTATTGCCAACATGATGATTATTTAGGCAGGTTATATAATATATTTTGTTTTTTCTTCTCCCCCAACGAGGCTGGATAATGGGATAATTTTGCTCCATTATCTTTGGATGACATGAAGGAAGCTGATCAATTAGGAAGGACGGAGCTTACCTCATTTAATGAAGAAGAAAAAGAGCAGCAGATATTATTCAGCAGCATGCTAATTGTTGATAATCCTCATAATTTCCTTGAAAAATGAGAGACTTTTTCCAGAGACACTAATGGGCGTCAGTGTTTTACTTTGCACTGATGTTAATTATTTCTGGATAACATAAAGCACTGGGGAGCTGGTATGTACTCTGATTAGCCATAACCGCCTCGCTCCCCTGAGATGACGCCAACCCTGCTAAATGAGATTTTCTCTGCATCACATTTGCATTGCTTTAAACATTGCTGGTGTTATAGATCTAACGTATCATTGGGAACCTTCTCCTCAGTGACTGAGCTCATGTGGGCTGACAGAATGAGGTAACAGATATTATGGATGGAGGAGTGGGCTGACAATGGCATGGTGCATGATGAAGTGGTGATTGGTTTCCTGGAGGTGATGGAGGGGCACGTTGGACATTGGATGAATTCAGCACCTGAGGGTTTAGGCAGGCCTGGAGGCAGTGTATTATGTTCAGTGTGTACAACAAAGAAAACAGAAATGTTGTTTGACATACAGAGGAAACGTTAATTCATAAATTACAGCACATTGGAAGTTTGGGATAAAGGAACTGTATACAAGTCTGATTATTAGTCAGTTTTAAGTCTACAAAAATACAGAGTATCATCACTCAGCCTTCAGATGAACAGTAGTGAGTGTTCATTATGTAGTACATTTGGGTTTAACTCTGGGTTTAATGAGGCCTGCTGGTGCATGAACATGTCAACTGATCCAAAAACAGCAGAACTCAGCTGGACTACATATTAAGCTCTGCTACCAAACAGATGCCTCCTGCCAGCTGCAGCTAACCTCCGGGCCACACACACTGGAGAACAGTCAGATTATTTTTAGGAAGAGCACTCACGCTCTTTGGGATCCCACAGGGAGCCTCTGTAGGGACCCCAGGAGTCCAGTGCGACCAAACGGCCTCAGGGTGCTGCGTGATGCAGGATAGGCAGTCACGGAGGAAATTACTTATCGACTCAGCGGCTCTTTTTAAACCGCATTGTAAAGCTGGTGCTGCTGAAAGGGTTATTGAATCAGAGCTGGGTCATCTGGAAGAGGAGAGGGGGTAGCTAACCTCAAATTCACCTCTGTCCCTCTGCTTAAAGACTTTAAAGGAGAAACGCTTAAAAACGCTTGAATAAATCCTTTGCAAAACATAAGCAGAACCAGAGGACCCAAAGACAGAGACTAGCTAGCATTCAGCCGCTACTGACTCTGATTTTTTTTTTCTCTGAATTGTGCTCAGAACTAAAGAAAGGTAAAGATGCCATTTCCAGCCATTCAGCTTACAAAATCTTAACTTCTTTTTAAAAGGTTGTGTTGCATGTTAAGCTGGATCTGTATTAAAAAATCGAGAGTGTGCATTTCTTTTTCTGCAGTGACTTAGATTAAGATTGAATGAAAGCTCACCATCTTGGGCTGTCAGTGTCTCACTTCACCAGGTGCTCTGCACGTAAACAAACAGAGGCACATACGATCTGCTAACGTTCTTTAATGGCCTGTATATTTGGCCACAGCATTGAAGAGTCGATGGTGCAGATATCAGGTGTACACTCATTTAGATTCAACTTGCTTCAATGAGCGTCTTCCTCCAGCACCATGACCGGGGTTTGTGACAGCAGCAGCGTCTTCTGTGTGTTACATTTTACATGCAGGGACACACTGACTGCATGCACAACAGTCAGTTCTGTGACCGCTGAAGGTGATATCAGACAGACTCATATTGTGAATTATTCATGAAAACCATAAAACTGGCAGAAATGTGGCAGCACGACGAGCTTCATGTCCTGCCATGTGTCTGCTGCTCACGCACACATTGCAGTGTTAAAACGATATATGGTTCAGCGTTTCCTCTTAGTGCCTATGTTTGAGTTGCAGTCCACTAGATTCTGATCTTCTACTCTCACTTGGTGTTTTGAGTCACCTCTCAGATGATCAAACCGGTCACACCTCCTCCCTGCCAACTAAGCAGCACATGACACTCAACAGTCCCAACCAGATATTTATAGAGGACAAGAGGGATTTATAAATTAAACTAGAAACCCCCATATTGATGTGTTGTCTTTGTGATCACACATCGGGTCTAACGACATTGATATTTGAATCATATGGATGATAACAACTCCTTCGATTGTAAAATAAAAGGAGGTTTCTTGACCTGCATGCACACACAACTATTTATATCTTCATCCCCAGGACTGGCTCTGCTCCACAGCAGCATAACATGGCACAACTTCTAACATGACTATGATAGCTAGCTTTGATATTTCAGTCTGTGACTCCACATTTAAGAGTGAAGGGAGTGAAGGCAGGTCCGGTTAGTTATGGATGATGAAGAGGTAATCTCTAGGTTTGTTTCTTGTTGATTTTTAGGTTGTCGTACTTTTTAATGACCTCACATTTTTTAACTCCCCCCCAGAATGGTCTCAATGCTCTTCACCTGGCAGCAAAGGAGGGACATTTGGACCTGGTCCAGGAGCTCCTGGATAGAGGGGCAGCAGTGGATTCAGCTACAAAGGTAGGTTACCTCGACAGGAAGTAACTGGAAACCCTTTATGTTGAAGCGCCGCACAGCTCACAACATTTGGTATAATAAGTTAACCAGAGATCTTTTTTTCTTTTATTGTAAATATAGTTACTTTACAAACGTTACATGATAAAAAACACTTACTCATTTCATCAACTTGAGGCTCTTGGTGGAAAACGTATCACTGAGACTCCTCTCCTTTGCCATGTAGTCATTATTTATGTAAGTATTATTGAAAATGACTATTCTGATATAATTCCAATAATAGAATGAAGCGGAATTGTCCAAGGCATGTGCTAATGCTAACAACGCTAACAATCCCGCAATGCCGCCTGATTGCAAAATGTTTTTCGCTCCACCTCTCAGCCAGGAACAAAAAGGGGGAGATTCACAGCTGTCTGGACTCTTAGTTTGCTTTTTGTCTTTAGAGTTAAGTTGACCGACACTTAATTTCTCAATTTTGACATAATTTGGTAATATGCCTTTATTAAAGAGTTAGGATGGTGAATAGAGTCCGAAACCAGGGAGAGAGAGAATGGGTGCTGACATGCAGGAAAGGAGTCAGAGGTTTGATTTAAATCCCGACTACCTGTTTTCGAGGACTGTAGCCTCAGTACATGGGATGTGCTAATTTACCACTCGAATACTGTTGCCCCAAAATAAATAAAGTTTAAGCTTGACATCAGTCATTGAGGAAACAAGCTTCTACAGACGATGTTGAGGAGAGGGTGTCGCACTACAGAAAAGTGATATGTGGATAGTAGAGTGGTAAACATGGGGGGGGGCTGATTCTTGAGCAATGCTGGGGGCGGTCCAGACTAATTGCTGATAAAGTTTCTTTGGGTGCCAATAGCCTTGTGGTTATGTTACACCCCTTGTACTGAGGATTGAGTCCGACCTCAGCCCTTTGCTGCAAGTCATCCCCCCACTCTCTCCTCCCAACGTCTCCTGTCTCTCATCAGCTGTCCAATCTAATAAAGGGAAGAAAAGTTTCTGATGTGGGGACAATTTCTGGTGTTGCGATAAACTTCACAACCATTGCAACAGCAGAGCTTTGACATACCTGGTAATTTAAGAGTGCGTTTTTGATTGGAGAATGAAACTGTTTAGGAATTTAGGAACGAGGAAAGATGTCATATGAGTAGTTCATCAGTTTAGTTACTATGGGTTTAAATTAATTACACACCAGACTCAATCCTTGAAGAACAAATCTAGATTCTTTCATAAGAGCTCATTCACAAGTTGTTGTGGCCTGATAACTGGGTACATACTATGAAGGATGATCAGAGGAATCAAACATAAGATTATCTGAAGCACAGATTTGAGATTCTACTTGCAACCACAATTTTAGATTGGTAATCATTCTCCTAGATATTTGTCAGAGCTAGTCATTATTGCAGATCATCTATCAACTTCACTGCAGGTATCATCACTGAGTGGGATCACTTGGGAACACTTCTGACATGAAGTGTGGCATCGTTGTTCGTTCGTTTCGTTGTTTTGTAAAGAAATGCATTTTCTCAGTGTGCTTCTGTGTTTTCTCTTCCTCCAGAAAGGAAACACAGCTCTTCACATAGCCTCTCTAGCCGGTCAGGCTGAAGTGGTGAAGACCCTGGTGAAACGAGGAGCTGACATCAACGCACAGTCCCAGGTGAGTCACTTGCCCTCAGGTGCTGAAGCTGTTTGATGCTTTCAGTCTTTATATCAGTTAATTCTAAGGGCGTTTTCACACCTTTAGTTTGTTTGCTCTGGTCTGCTCTTGCTCTGAATCATGGACCAATTTGTTCCATTGTTGCATAAGTTTGGTCTGTGTTTATATGGGGACATTTACTAGCGGACCAAAATGTGTGGTCCGTGAGGAAAATGCTCTCTGATTGGTCAAAATTTCTTACAAGAAAAACCCTAACAAAGAGTGGTTGAGTCCTGCCTGGCTCTGGCTGCTCCAAAGATGATTTCCAAATTCAATATTGACAGACAACTACACAGATTGATGTTGGCTCTGGACGTCAGTTTTCAGATTGTTTGCATCACTGTAGTCAACAATACAGTTTGAAAATGAGGTGCAACTGCAGCTCAGAAATTATATGTAGATCTACTGGAGTCCATGAAGCTGCTTATCAAGACAGTTCAGGAGAAGGCGCTGCGCACGTTAATCGTCCTGAACCAGGACCTGCTCTTCCACCCAAACTGTTTCAGAGGATCCATCAGGTCTGCATGTGGTCTTTAACACATGTTGATGAACAGAGAGGGCCCACGGTCGATTCTTCCAGCAGTTTGGTCGGATTGAAGTCGGTTCATGTTCCTAATACAAACTAGCCTCACCACAGTTCGGGAAAATAAAGCGGCCAGAGACCTACTTTTCAAGCAGTCTCAGTACGGTTGTTTGGTGCACCCAAGGGTTTGATTGAGAGCTTTCACACCAGCACAAACAAGCCGTTTTAACCAAAAACCAAACAGATTAGATGTGAAATCGCCCTAAGATCATATGAGATGGCAGTGACTGTTTCTGGCTGTGTTCTGTGTAGTAGATGTTTACCTTTTTTCTGCATGTAGTTTATTGCTACCTTCTTGTGTTTTTCTGCAGAATGGGTTCACTCCTCTGTACATGGCGGCTCAGGAGAATCACATGGATGTGGTGCGATATCTGCTTGAGAATGGAGGAAACCAGAGCACGGCTACAGAGGTGGGATGATTTCACTGCTTCATAAATACAGCATCAATTTATTTACATTTCACTGGTACATGTAAGGGATACTGTCATGAAAAAGTGGAGTCTGCAGACAACACGTCTTTCATTATTTCCTGATAATGGACACCCTGTTGGGCATTGGACGGCTTTTACCATAATCCAAAATTTTATGTTTTCATTTGCTATGCATTCAAAAAGTTTTTCAGGATCCATATTTCAGTTTACTTGGTAACACCTGACAGTTTGACTAATATTTGAAACAATGATTACCATACCTTTTAGATTTAAAAAAAAAATGCAAAGTTTGTTTACTTCTCTTATCTCAGATACGACCTGGCAACCACCACATATAAATATATTTACATTTTTTTAACGCAGCTACTTAGCAGCTGTCCATTGTCAGGAATAAATGGACTACCCTCCGCCAATCAAAATCAAACTTTCACCCAGACCATAGTCCAAATGAAGAACTTAGCACCATGATGATTATGGAAATGACAGTGTATCTTTATAAATTAAACAAGATGACAAATATCTGATTTAATGATGCCATGAATAACCAGAGTACCACCAAAATGATGACAATGTGTCCTCAGGGAAACATGAATTTCTGCACCAAATTTCAGCCAATCCAGAAGTGTCAGGAAATGACATAATGTTTGATTAATGTCAACATGCTGGTGGCGATAGCAAAATTGGTGTGGTGCCTCCAAAGCCATTAGGACACATCATCTGGGAATCTACATGTCTGCAAAATCTGTTATAGCAATACATCCTGTATGATTGAGAAGTGTATTTGAAAGTGGTTTACTGTCCAGGGGAACCAAGACACAACATGATAAGTGAACCTCGCTCTTTCCACTCCCAAGACAGACAGCAGCACAGGCCGACTTCAGATTTAACACAACAGTTTATTTGTGTGAGCAGAGCAGAGCCCAAAACAACTCACTACTAAAGCCAGAACCTTTCTGTACATAGAAAATAAAGTAAACCAATAAGAATGTTCTTCCCTAGTCTCCTAAACAATACAACAGGTGAAAAAAACAAAAAGGGCTGAGCGGTGTGCTATATTTACAGTGCTTCAATTTACAAACTCTTTTTAAAAATCATTCGATCTTTCTATTAGCACATCAACAAACTTCCTAGTGCGCAGTAATCAGCAACAAGAACTCTCCCAACACAATACCAAAAGTTGTTAGAGATTCAAGTGTCACGCTGGCTTTGTCAGGATGTGGCCGACGAAGGGGGAGAGGAGGCTGCAGCAGCTGAGATTTTAAAAGCTGTGTTGTGGTGGTTCGACCAATCCAGTCGCAGCAATCGTATTTGCTCTCTCCAGTTAGCAGAAGCATCTGCAGCACCACCTGATCCACCGAGACACACGCCCATCATTACATCAATATGACCCAGAGTCATAAGAATACCGTTAAGACAGAGTAACTGGGTACTTCATTTGTCCAGAGTAGAAACTTTCAGGGACATTTCACTGGAGAGCTCCACAGTGTTGCCCTGGAGAATCCCATTAAGACTTTTCAATCCTCTTCCTCTTTGCTCACAGGATGGCTTCACCCCTCTGGCCATCGCCCTCCAGCAGGGCCACAACCAGGTGGTGTCTGTGCTACTGGAGAACGACACTAAAGGAAAGGTCCGGCTTCCTGCTCTGCACATCGCCGCACGCAAGGACGACACCAAGTCAGCCGCCCTGCTGCTTCAGAACGACCACAACGCTGATGTCCAGTCGAAGGTACGGGGATAACGCAGCTTGAGTCGGGGAGACGGGTTGTTTAAGCATGTGTGGTGTGAGCTAATGTGGTGCTACATGATTGTGCAAATGTGTCTGTACTGTGGTTATTATGGTCTTTGATGAAGTCATTGGTTTGTGTGAGCTTCTGGTGATATTTGAGGTGAAGTTAACGTTAAAGCAAACTTATTCTGGGATTCAGCCATTGAGTTATAGTCATTGGATGGGTTTACCTTGTTTACATCTGTGGTTAAATCTACATCTGGAAATCAACAGTCTGATCTCGTTACATCTCGTCTTCATGATGACAGGTCTCATTTTTCTTCCTCACGATGGAAAGCAGACAGTAGGCAGAAAATCTGGCATCCTACAATAACATGTTACAGTCCCATGGTGTGGACTTGTTAGGAGTGGGTTGAGCTGCAGTTGTTGTAATGACATTACTGCATGTGCTAATGACGTTAGCACATGCAGTAATGACGTTTCAACCCACAGTGATGATCCCTCGTCTCGTTGTTTTCCTCACCAATTGAAGGTTTTAAATTTCTATGCACAAATGTAAAGTGTGGGGAAATTATTCAACCCATGGTTTTTGTAATTCAAGCCAGGGTGATGACATCTCTTCATGCTGGGATTATATATCTTTCCATGGTTGTGATATTTCTACCCATGTCACCCGCTAATTGACATTGTACAATTTTCATTTGTTCAGGTAAGCAGCTAAAGGTGGTCAGCATTTGAGTCTAAGACCAATTTAATTAGAGAGAACATAAATGTATAGTTTTGTATAGCACCGAATAGCACCGCACTGCACCAAACTGCACCATCATCAAAGCTTCAATATGTTAATTTGTTGAGCTCAAGTAGAATCAGCCTTCATGTTAGCACCATGCTAATGACTAAAGCAATTAATATCCAAGAGAAATTCAGCAAAAACAGCAAGTTGCAGCATGCCATTGTTTGTCTTTTTAGGCGGGATTCAGTTAGCTTTAGCGTTGCTCACAGCTGCTAACTAGCAAGCTGACTAACAAGTGAAGAATGCCAGAAGAGCTTTGGGGTAATAATGCATAAAAACCATGTTGTATTCACTCAAAGCAAGGGCCCACTTAACATGGCACTTTTTTACAACCCCTGAACCTGACTTTATCTCAGCACTCAAACTGCTGTAAGCTGACAACACATGGATCAACTTACATACATTACTCTCGTCATCACAAACCTGCCAGACTTTGTCAGATACATACAAAACTTACTGAGGCCACCTCTTCTTCTCCAGATGAAAATAACAACAGATGTAAACCGGGTCGATCCCCAGGATATTGATGTATGATTCAGTGTTTAACAAGAGAACGCTAATTGTCGTGATGTACTTCTTCTCTGAACTTTAAAGCTTTGTAAAGTGTGTGTCGTGTCTCCATCTGTGTGTCTTTTCATCTCTGCCTCTCTCTCCCTCCCTCTGTCTCACTCAGTGTGTTTCTGCCTATCACGTCACTCCTGGTCCTGCCACTAACCAAGTCTCTCCCTCTTTTCCCCCCCTCTCTGTGTCTCTTTAAATGCTTCCTCTCACACACTTCCCTCCATCATCCCCTCCTCCTCCTCCTCCTTCTTCCTCCTCGCTGCACCGGTGTCTAAGTGTAGCACTGTCCACTGCATGGAGTGTGCCACTGTCTGCAGGTTGTATGGTGCTGATATTTACAGCTGCATGCAACCAATGGGAGGGTGGATGTTGTATTTAAGATTGCTTTTTGACCATCTGAAAGGGATGGGAGGGGTTGAAGTGTTGATATGCTGTTGATGAGAATTTAGTTTTACATCTCTTGATGTAATAAAACAAATTTCAGGACTATTTTTCAGTTGCATAAAGGTTGTTGAAACTGGTTATTCCTGAAATTTAAACCTGGGTCTTTTTTGTGTGCACATTTTGTTGTCTAAATGACTAATAGATACAACATGCTTTGCTCTAGTAGGCGCACAACAGCTGAAATGCAAGTTTAATTATAAAGCACCATTCATATATGGAGCTTTTCAAATTGCTGAACAGAGTTAAAAAGAGAAAATGAATGCATCAAAGAATTGCAAAAGTTAGACTCCACAATACATCACATAGGGCCTGACCGATATGGGATTCTTCAGACCAATACCGATATCAATATTTGGGAGAAAAAAATCGGCCGATATCTTTCTCAGATCTATGCTCAATCTGTAACGATAGATATAGATATTTAATGTGTTGCTCCCTCAGATGCAGTTATCAAACACTTGTGGAAAAGATTTATAATGAAGAAAAGATGGTCGCTCAACTGGAAAGTAACTGAGCGTGTACATGCATCACAGCTTGACACTCTAATCCATATAGCGCCCTCTGCTGGTGAAAGAGAACTGCTAGCCAATACTGATAGTCACTTGATATGCTGATATCAGACAATATTATCGGATGGCCAATGAATCGGTCGGGCTCTACATTACATATAATATAAAAGTAAATATGAGCTCAATAAACATGTAGATAAAATGAGATTATATTCGAGGAATAAGGTCAAAGAAGATAAGAAGTTATTTTAATTTGTACATGACAGTAGCTGCTTGTCTTCATGACTTGGATTGGTTAGTTTGTTTGAGTTATTGTGTGACTTTGATGTTTTGGGTTATATCCAACCCAAAACAAAAAAAAAATGTACTCTACAATAACATGAAAAACTTGGCAACTGAGGCAACTATAGACAAGCACTCCAATGTTCTGTGGCGTTCAATTCTGCTTTTGTCAACGGAGTCTGGTCACCAAAACTATCAGTTTGACCTTGCAGAACAGGGAAGTTGCTGCAGGTCTTTTCTTCTCTTTTCATTTGTGTGGTTAATTCTAACTATTGTACGAAGTCAGGAAACCACACAAAACAAACAGAAAGAAGTAGACCAGCAACTCCCACGTTCTGCAAGCAAAATGAGTATGGAGTCTGGTGGATTGACAGAAAGTGGTCTTACAGCTGTTTCTGGTTAAAGAAATCCTCTGACACTTTAACCATCAGCTCCGTCTCAGTAGACGTCCTTGTATTCATGTTTTATATATTGGCTATCTACTGAAGCAACCGCAGAACCTTTTGTGTCTTTTAGCCATTTGGACAAAAAATATGTAAAGATATGGCCCAGGTTTGTTACTACTGGAACTACCCTGTAAGTGATGTGGCTGGAGTGATCATTATTTACTGCACAGCATCTCTCCTTTCCTATATGTTAAGACAAACCTCTCTACCCACCACGTTGTATATATATAGACAAGGCACCATTTATATTGTTGCGTAATAAAACAGCAGAAGCAGTCAGAGTAGATGTATTCATGTAGGAGGCCAGCTGATGTGATGCAGCTCTGCTCGATATGAGTCATAAGAAGAAGTCCAGAGGAAGATCAGCCATAACCAGCAGCTTGTAGAGTCCTCACCGAACACGTGTTCAAGTAAAGCACATGTGAAGTGCACAGTTCTGAACATATAACTCAGGAAAGAAGTTTAGTAGAGCTCAACAGTGGCCGCCCACTTCTTCAAATCCTCCATTATCATTTTAGAAGATCCTCATATCAACCATTTTAATCATGAAACTGAGCCAACCAGCTACACGGTTACACATAACTATAGCAGATTGGATTCGGCGCCAAAAGATGATTGAACAATGGAGAAAAAGGCAAAGGTACAAGACAAGTGAATGTAATTAATCTGAGAGCGAAGGAACTACACATCCCACAATCCAATGCAATTCCATCAAGACCCATAATGATATGTAGTTTAGCGCACTTTTAAAAAAATGTTAACAGACCTTCTTTCGAACAGCCTAAGTTTGAGGGGGTGGTAAACATTTCCATGGTAACAGTGGGCTCCAACGATCAGAGACGTCGCTGTGTCACTCTAGGATTGTGGGTAGTGTAGTCCGACGGAATAGCCAATTAGCGCGTGCAGACCGGGAAGCGTAATCAATCGGATGTTGCATACTTTTACAGCTAACAGACATAAACACAACTGAGCCCCGAGTCAATAAAATACTGAAGAACAAGAAGAGCAGTTTGTGGAATTACAGCAACAACACCAGAGCCTTTATAAAGTCTCATGAAGTAAAACACAGTTGGTCAGGACAGCCAGCTGACAACGACGATCATCCACCATATTTGTATTTCTTCTGAAGTCACGTTTGATCACACGAGCGAGAACTCGTGTCTGTGGAATGACCACTGTGAAATCCTCACTACAAACGGCAGGTGTGTGGTCTCGCGGTCTGTCTGATTCTTAGTGTGTGCGTTTGGAGGATTATAATGTTGAAAATCGGTTGAAAGCATCCTCAAGTCTGTGCTCTCCCACGTTTTTGAAATCAGTCGTCAGCAAAAAAAACATTTCCTCCATTAAACTGATGTTAGATCAAAGAATGAAAAAAATGACTTGTTTCATCTCTAAAGACATCAGGCTTTCATATTTATGTGTCACTCCAGCCAGGTCACTTACATGTCTCCCCTCTGAGCGGCGGTGCCTCCTCTGAGCGGCTCCGCCCCCTCTGAGCGCCGGTGCCTCCTCTGAGTGGCTCCGCCCCCTCTGAGCGTCGGTGCCTCAGCCGTCAGTGCAGTAATGTGTTTAACAGATGTTTCCCTCCCTCATTCCTCCTGCTTCAGATGATGGTCAATAGGACTACTGAGGTATAAACACGCTCCTTTTCATTCTTCACAGATTAAAGTCCTGTTTGTTTCTACTTTTGTTTCTGTCACTTCCACAGCACTGCATGGAGTAAATAATCACCATGTTGGTTTATTTCACTGTTTAATTTTTTTGGTTTTGGTTTAGTAAGGTGTCGACATGCACTGCTGGCCGAGCTCATGCTGCGTGTCTGCTTATCTGTTATTCTTTGATTCATGCTGTTTGTTTTCATTTAATCTTTACAGTTTTTATTTATTCTGTTACCAGTTTATTTATGTGACCTTTAATGGAAACATTTAGAAATATCTTAAAACAACATCCTTATTAAGCTGTGTGGTTCACTCCTTTATTTCTGATTGTATTTTTAATTTTGAGAAGTTTTCAATGGATGAAATCACAATAACAATGAATGTAGAAAGATTGTTTGTTCGTCTTGTTATGTTGTCTGACGTGCTGCATGTTGTTGTTGTTTTTAAAATGCACTATGAAAATAAGATTGGAAAATGACTACTTATAACAGAATCCTGCAAATAATACCATCTATCTATCTATGATCTATGGAAACCCAGTGCTGCCCAAATTAAAATCAGTAAATAAAATATGATTTCATCAGTTTGAAATCATATTTCCTTCTGTGTGTCAAAGATAAAATCTGAAACTGTCTGAAGAAAAGAGACGAACAAAACAAGTTTCATCCTTAAGTGCCGTCTTTAAAAACACACTGATTATTCATTAAACATTAAGTGTGTGAATCACCAGAGGCCCAAGATACAATATCATCACGATACTTGACTCGCGCTACGATAATATTGTGATTTGAAACATTTTGCGATATGCTGAGAATTGTGATACAATATATGATTAAGCTTTTTGAAATGCATATTATGTCCACAAAATTTAAATAAATCAAGGACGCTTTTGTCAAATAATTCTCAGTTTATTCATCTCACTTTAATATTTTTATTTCTACACGACGAGCCCACAGACCGACCAACACTGTGATTAAAGTAGAACCTGTAAAAGGCTGCATGCACCTCACAATCTGAACTGTAAACTCTTTCAGTTTAAACAAACTTAACTGGACACAAACATTTTCAACCTCTTCAGCAATTAAAATGTAAAAAAGCATATTTGCCACTAATATATTCAAAGTATCGTTCCTTGGCGACCATGAGATGATGTGATAACGCCATACTGAATCGTTTTCTTTACCCCACCTCTAATAATCTGTCACTCATTACTCTGATTTCTTAAATTATATTTCTGCACGAACAATGCATTCATAGACAACGTCTAGAATTAACTTTGACTCCTGTAGGTTTCAACATAAAAAATCAAAACAAATAAAATCAGCTTAAATGTGTCTCCTACAAAGTTGATTAATGATGTTTTTTTTGATTTGGCAGTCCTGGTTTTCCATCCTTAACAGAGCTAACAAAGTGTTTGAAACGCATGACTCATCATATAAATCTGTACATGATTCCACTCTTGAACTATCTCTAACAGCGCTAATCAGTAATGGCATGAGAAGCTTGTAAGACTTAAGGAAACGTTTAAAAAAAAAAAACGACTTGGCGTTAATTAGCATGTTTGCATCTCTGGGCTCCGTTACTTTGCAACCATTCTGAGCTTTTGACTGTGTAAAGTTTTTGAAACCATCACGTTGGTCACTGTATTCTTCACACTTTTATAAACAAACTTTCTCACGTTAAATCGGACCACACTTACAGAACGGCAAGGTAAGGCAAGAATTTCACAACTCCTCACACCTGCTCTGCCAATCTCTCTAACTTCTCTCACGTACTTCTCTCATTTCTAACTCTTGGTTCTTCTCTGATGTACAGTTAGCATAGTGCACTTTGGTGTTAAAGTACCCTCCTCCTGACACTTTGAGTTGTTCTCTATTATTTGTATTTTTTGGGGGTTTTGGGTCCCTAATGTTGTTCGTCCATCTACATGTTAATCTTGATGACGATCTGTGTGTGCTGTACATCTATTTTTAATTTCCTTCTTTTCATTTTTTTTAAATTTCCTTTGAAGCCGGAGAAAGGCCTTCGTTTTACTTTCTGTGGTTGAAAACATGCATGGAGGTGATGTGAGTGTCTGAGTGTGTATCTTTTGGGGGTTGTGTGTCTGTGGGTGCAACTTAACCCTGACATTTAAAGAATTATGATTTCCATTTTTCTTTCCTTTCTAACTTGTTTGTTATTTTTATTTTGTTCACCTGTGATGCTTAATGCGACTGCTGCATGCTGGGAAGACAAAAGATCAGGAGAGTCAATAGAAGAGGTCCAGTGACAGGATGTGAAGGCTTGTTGTCTGACCTCTCTCCTCTTCTCTGTGTGTCCGTCTGTCTCCTGCCTCTCTGTCTTTCAGAGTGGATTCACCCCGCTGCATATCGCTGCCCACTACGGCAACGTCAATGTGGCCACGCTCCTGCTGAACCGAGGGGCGGCGGTCGACTTCACGGCAAGGGTACGTAACACAAAGACTGAATAATCACTGAGGGCGCACTCACACTATAGGCAAAGTTGTCCTGTACCGATCATAAGCACGATTGATAATAATCTGTACATTTGGAAATCTTTACAATATTCTGTGTTAAAATGGCTCTTAAAATGCTGACTCTTCAGTAAAACAGATGCTATGGCGTCCTGTGAATTAGATGCCAGATTGTACCTTAATAGAGATGCTTAAAAAGACTTGTAGGTGAGGTGTAGGCCCCAAATGGGGTGAATTTTTGAGTTTCCTCCATGTAGTGCCTACCTGAAGTGTTTGTGTACTAGAGACAGCGTGCTAAAGCACAGTAGCTGAAATGCTAACAAGCTGCTCATCACCAACACTTCCTGTGTAGACTCAATGAGGATTACATTAATCCTTAATATAAACTAGTCGCTAACTTCCATGCAGAGACATTGATGATGTGAGTTACTTAAAAAACACTTCTATCAGATGTTATCTCGGTTATTTACCAGTTATTGACATTTTGAATTGTTGCATTGGAAACACCGACCATGCAGACAGAAAAACAGAGAAATGCTCCAAAGCAAAAAGCTTATTTACATGCCAACAAAATGCAGTTGAATGGATAATAACATCAGTGATATCTGAATCTTGTGAAGTAAATATGAAAGACAAACCCAGGGGGAGTCGTTTTGTTTGAGATTTCTCTTCTGGCCTTTCAGACGCATGTTGGGTCCCTTTAATCGATATCAGCCAGAATACAAATTCAGATCGCCTATTTTTAGCCGTGTGAGGAGCGAGTTTAAAAATAGCTTTTTCATCACGTCGTACTCTGCACCAAAGAATTAAAACATGGTAAAAAAAACACCTCACTCACACACACATGCAGAGTGTATGTAGAACAGAAACATCTCTCCATGGATCACATGTGTGGCAGAAAGAGTCTGCAGAGATCTGAAATCTTATGTGATCAAGAGGTTTTTGAAAATGCTCCTCCAGTCAGAGACGACTGCAGGTTTTACTTGTTCAAGTCGATGTTTTTGATAAATGTAAGAATCTTTAACAGGCACAGGACACAAAGGCGATGATTAGACTCTTCACCAACAAACATTTTGCAATGGGGTTGTTTTTGATGTTAAAACATCATGACTGTATATTAAATCAGTATACTTTTAGTGAGCACTTATAATTCAAATATAAATGTGTATTGAAGTCATTAGAAGAGATATGTGACTCCTCCCCTGCAGAATGGGATCACTCCTCTACACGTGGCGTCCAAACGAGGAAACACAAACATGGTGGGTCTCCTGCTGGACCGAGGATCACAGATTGACGCTAAAACACGGGTGAGTGTCATAACAAAAAAAAATCATCCCAAACATGAGCAGCTCATTATCGTCTTCTCCATGAGTGATGACAGATGTGAACGTGAGCTTAACGCTGTTGTTTTCAGCTCAGCTCAGCTCAGCGGGTCAGAGGATTAAAATGGGTATCACTCTGCACTTTCTGGCCTCAGCTGGCTGTTATTATCGTGTGTTTTAGCGAGCAGGACTGTCAGGTTATTAGCTGATTTCATAACATAACGACAGCTGACGTTTCCTCTGCAGGATGGTCTGACTCCTCTTCACTGTGCGGCTCGGAGCGGGCATGATGGGTCTGTGGAGCTGCTGCTGGAGAAAGGAGCGCCGATGCTGGCCAGGACCAAGGTGTGTTACCCATCTGTTCACCCTCTGGATTTTAAAATACAGGAGCGTGTCTATATGTCGCTGCAATGATTCAGAGCAACATCCCTGAAGTTAGCTGGGGAAACTTGACCCGCACTGATTGTCATAAATCCATTTTCTTTGCTCCTCAAACTTGAGTCTCTATTGGCTGCTGAGTGAGGAAGCTAAACCATCCAAACACACGCAAGCAGAGAGAGCAGAAAATACAGCAAGCTGCAAGCTCTGTTGCTTTAAGTTTGGCATTGTAGTAAAATATAATATAATAATGTAATATCATTTTACCATTCTCAGATGATATGATGGTCAGCAGTTTAACAGTCATTTGATCATAGACCTCCATCATCAGTAAATAACCTCTTCATCACATTTCAGAATGGGCTGTCTCCTCTTCACATGGCGGCTCAAGGCGACCACGTGGAATGTGTCAAACACCTGCTGCAGCACAAGGCTCCTGTTGATGATGTCACACTGGATTACCTGACAGCGCTGCACGTGGCGGCTCACTGCGGTCACTACAAAGTCACCAAACTGCTGCTGGACAAGAGGGCCAACCCCAACGCCAGGGCGCTGGTACGATGAAAAGATGCGTCTTACAATCAGTCTGTGGAAACTCAGGAGCATGAGAAATAGTCAATGGAAGATTCAGAACGTTTTCACATTAGGCACCATTGTTTCGTACCGCGCCCGAGCACAATCACTCCTCACTCCCCCCGCTGGTCAGCGTTCACCTTAGTAACATCGTTCTGTGCCTGAGTACACTTGAGTATGTACATAGACCGATACAGCAGGCGACACTATGCACATAGTTGGTTTACAAATCTCCGAAAAGCAGAAATATAAAGAAGCAACCATGGCAACCACTCGCGTCCTGAGTCCATCAGAGACCGCCTCTTCAAGCAGACTCAGGCAAAGTACCTGAGTACAGTATGTTTGGGTTCACACTGATTAAATGAACAGGACTTTGGGGTCAAGGGTAGTTGGATCTGGGTCCAGGTCCCTAGTGTGAAACCCCCCTTAGTGGGCTTTATAACCGCTGTGTATTATTATTTATTATGTTTTTTCTTAATAAGGGTCTAACTGAGAAATATTTAATCGTTTCTGACATTTTTCTAGGAAGAGCTCCTAAAGAGAAAGACCTTTTGTTATGGTAGATTTGATCTCACCAGAAAACACTGTCACAACACTTTCTTCAGAGCCATTAAAGTACATTGACAAAAACAGTGATTTGACCCACAGAACAGGGAAGTTGTTGCTCTGAATGGATTGGTTCACTTTTTTTTTACATTGTTGTGTCATCAGCTGTAACAGTTCTAAAACCCAAAGTCAAAAAATAACACAAAAAAAGAACCAGGAACTCCTGGGTTCCACTTTCTATCAATGGAGTCTGGAGACACTGAAGAGAGATCTAACAGCGGATTCTGGTTAAAAATATGCATCTTAGCTTTTTTCTGGAGGGATTCTTCTGTTATGTTTTTAGGCACTAAGATTGAATTGTGAGCCTGTCAGTGACAAAAACAAGAACTTTTAGTAGATGTGCTAAGATCTGGCAAATTTGCATTAAAAGTGTCAGAAGTTAGAAACCTTTCATGACTGCAGGCTCATGAAATCTACAGTCAATTAGACCCTGAAAATACCTCAATACCTCTTTCAATCCTGTTTTTTTTTTGTATGTTTGTTCTTTATTCTGACTGTCCTTCACAGAACGGCTTCACTCCTCTGCATATAGCCTGTAAGAAGAACCGAGTGAAAGTGATGGAGCTGCTGGTCAAATATGGAGCCTCTATTCAGGCGATAACTGAGGTACGGAGCAATGAAAACAACATTCAGGGTCTTTTCTTTGTTTGTTTTTGTATAGTGTTTGTAAAGTGTGTCGACACTCTGGCTCTTAAAATAAAAGCATGTGGTGGTCAGAATTTACTCGGACATCATGTACGACTTTTGCATATTCACTGAATGAGAACCTGTGATTATGTAACACATTTATATCCAACTCCTCTTTGACCTCCTGTTCTGTGTCCAGTCTGGTTTGACTCCCATCCACGTAGCCGCCTTCATGGGTCACCTGAACATCGTCCTGCTGCTGCTGCAGAACGGAGCCTCGCCGGACGTCAGCAATATTGTGAGTGATGGGTAAACGAGCCAATCAGAAAGAGAGAGAGTGTAGCTGACTTAAAAAGTTTGAGATATTACAATCAGCTACTTTAGAAATGTGCAAACTTCTGTGAAATGTGTGTGTCCACTGACTATATTTTGTGTGTACAGCGTGGAGAAACGGCGTTACACATGGCAGCCCGGGCAGGTCAGGTGGAGGTGGTGAGATGTCTGCTGAGGAACGGAGCCATGGTGGATGCTAGAGCACGGGTAAGACCACAGTAACATATATTAGCATACCAGGTAGAATGCTGATGTTTGTAATAATAACTGTTATATCTTCTCCCTCACCGTCTCGCTCAGGAGGACCAGACTCCGCTCCATATCGCCTCCCGTCTGGGTAAAACTGAGATTGTTCAGCTGCTGCTGCAGCACATGGCTCACCCTGATGCAGCCACAACAAACGGCTACACCCCCCTGCACATCTCTGCCCGGGAGGGGCAGGTAGAGACAGCATCTGTCCTGCTGGAGGCCGGAGCTTCACACTCACTGGCCACAAAGGTGGGTGGAGGAGACACATTTTGTCTTTTGATTTAACCACTTGCACACCAGTGGCGCCTGATGGTATTTGAGCTACATATACAGAAAGCTGTAGTTCTTGAAGCAGGCAGCCCCAGCTCCGTTCCTTGCAAACAGAGCTGGCCAATCAGAGGAAAGTGGGCATGCGGTGAGGGGGGGGCCTTAAAGAGACAGCAGCTGAACTGAACCGTTTCAGGAAGAGGCTGATTTTACTGACGCCAGTATCAGATACAGTACTGTGCAAAAGTTTTAGGCAGGTGTGAAAAAATGCTGTAAACTAAGAATGCTTTCAAAAATATAAATAATGATTGTTTATTTTTATCAATTTACAAAATGCAAAGTGAGCGAACAAAAGAAAAATCTAAATCACATCAATATTTGGTGTTACTACCCTTTGCCTTCAAACCAGCATCAATTCTTATAGGTACACTTACAAAAAGTCAGGGATTTTGTAGGATTGTAGTCAGGTGTATGATCAACCAATTATACCAAACAGGTGCTAATGCTCATCAATGTCACATGTAGGTTGAAACACAGTCTTTGACTGAAACAGAAACAGCTGTGTAGGAGGCTTAAAATGGGTGAGGAACAGCCAAACTCTGCTACCAAGGTGAGGTTGTGGAAGACAGTTTCCTGTCACAGGTCATACACTATGGCAAGACTGAGGTGCTCTGGACTGATGAGTCAAAATTTGAAATATTTGGCTGGAGCAGAAGGCAGGTTGTTCGCCGAAAGGCTGGAGAGCGGTACAATAATGAGTGTCTGCAGGCAACAGTGAAGCATGGTGGAGGTTCCTTGCAAGTTTGGGGCTGCATTTCTGCAAATGGAGTTGGAGATTTGGTCAGGATTAATGGTGTCCTCAATGCTGAGAAATACAGGCAGATACTTATCCATCATGCAATACCATCAGGGAGGCGTATAATTGGCCCCAAATTTATTCTGCAGCAGGACAACGACCCCAAACATACAGCCAAGGTCATTAAGAACTATCTTCAGCGTAAAGAAGAACAAGAAGTCCTGGAAGTGATGGCATGGCCCCCACAGAGCCCTGATCTCAACATCATCGAGTGTGTCTGGATTACATGAAGAGACAGAAGGATTTGAGGAAGCCTACATCCACAGAAGATCTGTGGTTAATTCTCCAAGATGTTTGGAACAACCTACCAGCCGAGTTCCTTCAAAAACTGTGTGCAAGTGTACCTAGAAGAATTGATGCTGTCTTGAAGGCAAAGGGTGGTCACACCAAATATTGATTTGATTTAGATTTCTCTTCTGTTCATTCACTGCATTTTGTTAATTGATGAAAATAAACTATTAACACTTCCATTTCTGAAAGCATTCTTAGTTTACAGCATTTTTTCATACCTGCCTAAAACTTTTACACAGTACTGTATATAAGAAGGCTTTTGAGCTACACATCTACACTACTCGATAGGTGTCCCAGACTGACATCATTAATGGTGTCAGTGAGTTTAATAAATCTCCTTTAAGATCCGAAAAGTACCCGCAGTGTGTCCTGCGATGAAAAAAAGCATACAGTAGAAATATTGTCAGGTCTGTTTTTCGAGCAGAATGGTTCGTTTTGTTGTCTTGCAGCCGACTTCTTGTCCAAAATGACTCAAATTCATCATCATAATTGACTCTTCATTAACCTGAACCCATGTTCATATACCAAGATGTTTTTATTGTGGAGCTGCCAACCGCTTCTGGAATTAAAACAAAGAGTATTTAGGGGGTTGTTTGCACGATGTACACTTAAAAAAATAGGCTGTAAGATCAACTGTGACTATCCTCCTGCAGCGTCACATAAAGAGGTTAAAGTCAGGCTGTTTGACCAGGTCTCTGTCTGTTTGACCCACTTCTGATGAGTGATTGATGAGTCTGTATGGCTGACCTCTGCCGAATGTAACATAAAGGCTGAACGCGGTCAAGTGATTTATCCTCCTGGTCATATCATGGAGATGTTTACAGAGAGGAAGCAGCACCGTCATACCTTCACTTTACATCCAGAGCACCTTTTAATTTATTCATACTGCATTAAAGAAGACACAAAGCCATTTCTGAGGCCGTGTTCTCGTCATGGCTCGCTGGTTCTTCTCTTAATGTCTCTTTTCTTGTTTCTCTCTGGGGGATGAAGGGTGTGGCCGTCCTTGGGGAAACAAATCAGGAAAATGTGTTTTCATGCACGCTCTCCATCAATCCGACCACTTTCACGATTTTCCTTATCCTTCAGTTGCTTTATTTTTTTCCACATCTCTGCCTAAATAAAGCCTCCTCTTTCTCCTCTTCATCCCATCACCTCTAACACCAGATTTAATCCCGCTTTGACAAACAAAGGATTGCTCTCTCTCTCTGAGCAGGGTTGGGTCATAAACACACGATGGTCATGTGGTTTCTGACAGCTCCAGTACGCATGACAAAGTGGTAGAAGTGCCCCCTCTGCTGGTATAACTGTGTCACTTTAAGGACCTTATCATAGATGTGTGGTTTAAGGTTGCATATTATTGCATCAGCATGACAACAAGGTGGAGGCGACAGAAACAATGGATGGCATGTTTGCATTTTGTAAACATTGATAATATAATATTTAGTTATGTGTCCTCGATCAGCCAATATGCAATGGTTTTTGCACAACTTTGTGGTTTTACAAGATGAGTTTAAATCCATGCAACACAAAAAAGACATAGCCATCAAAAGAGGTAGAAAAGCCACTCCTGTGCTCTGACTTGATTTATAACTGGGGTTTTTTATGCTGTATAGAATAATATGGTCAATCTCTGTAGGCAGAATGCAGAAACGTATTACTCATTTAAACATCATTGTTTTTTTGTCATCAAAAAAAAGGGCTGAGATGAAACCTGTAGAAAGGTCGGCTGTGGCTCACTGGTAGTCAGTCCTCTCTTAACTAGAATTTCACGGGATTGATCCCCAGCTCCTGCAGCCACGTCAGATGTATCGTTGGGTTAGACACTTGACCCCAAGTTGCTCCCGCTGCTTTGTCAGCAGGGTGTGAAATGGGGTTAGCTAATACTGATGGACTCTTTACTCAGCAGTCTCTACCATCAGTGTGTGAATGTGTATAGGTGTGACCTGCGGTGTAAAAGAGCTTTGAGACAAGAAAAGCGCTGTACAAGCTCAATTCCATTTACCATTTACTGTAAAGCTATCCCAGTGTTATTGTCTTAAAGGATTCTTCTTCATCTCCCTTCTCTGATTTTCTTTTCTCCACAGAAAGGTTTCACTCCTCTGCATGTGGCCGCTAAGTACGGGAGCCTGGATGTAGCCAAACTTCTGCTGCAGCGTCACGCTCCGCCTGATTCTGCGGGAAAGGTATTTATCGAAGAAGTCAAGCTTTAAAAGAGTCTAAAGTTCTCTATATCTTTAAACGCAGTGTATAAGATCCTGCAGAGTTTTTAAATCTAAGTGGTTTGTTCCTGTTTTCTGTGTGGAGGTTATGTTGACTACAGGAGCACTGGTAAGCTAGTCTGAATACAATAAACCATTACTCTGATTAAGCAACATTTAACAGAAGCCTCCCTGTCCGTCTTCTCATCATCCCTCCAGGTTTCTCCTCTATTAAAACGATAACTGATCTCACCCTGCAGTATTCTCACGATAACGCTTCCTGTTCATGTGATGAGGTTTTAATATCTTGTTGCTGCACTAACTGCTCTTTAATCTTCACTCGCTCACCATCCCTCCCTCACAGAACGGCCTCACCCCGCTCCATGTTGCAGCACATTATGATAACCAGAAAGTGGCGCTCCTGCTTCTGGACAAAGGAGCGTCCCCGCACACTATGGCCAAGGTGAGAGCCTGCACTGACTCAGCCCTCCCTTCATACTCTCTGCTGGAGAAAATGAGACGGCTGAGGTTGAAATTTAATTTAGTAGGGTGTAGGGTGATGCTTTGTATCTTGTGTGCGCACATTATTATCCATAGGTAATCAATGTGAAAAAGTTTATTTGTCTATTTGGACCAGTTTAGTAACTCTTACAAAGTCAGAAAACATGATGGTATCTTTAGGAAACAGTCTTTGGGAACAAGTGATTGCTGTTCAGTAAACAAAATAATATTTTTTACTTTTAGAAACAAGTTAGGCCCTGTGTCCACCAGCATCTTTTTTCATTTGTTTTCAATGAGGTAAGAGCGTTCACAGCAGCATGCAGCTGCCTGGAGAAAAAGTGCAGTGCCCAGCTTTTGTTTTTCCCAGTGCTCCGCTTTAAAGTGCAGCCCCTCTAAGCACTCCGAATTGAAAATCTTTCAACTTTTCAGAAAAGTGCTGTTGATGTCACCGGCGCTCTTTTCCAAAATATATGATATTCCCCGTATTTTTCCCTCCTGTGTCAGTCATGCAGTCCCACAATCCTGTGGGAACCATTAGTAAAGTATCTTGTTGGAAAATATTAATCGTGTTGTGCAGACAAGATGATTCTTTTGAGTGAGTATCTTTTGGAAAAGTCTATATCCGACACACACACAAGAGATGATAATCTTTTGGAATCAATTAAGTAACTCGTAGAAAAAAATACTTGTAATCTCGTGCACCCTAAGAGATCCTTTGGGAACAAGTTAGTATGTAAGAGAGTAAGAGAGTAAATATTTTTGTCCCACCCCAAAATATGAATGCAGTTGAACCACCAGCGAGCTACCACTGGATTCATGTTTGCTATAAACGTACCTCAGTTTAGATTTCTAAGGTTCAGTACATCCCTTACTCAGCTCGTCTCTTTGTTTGAAAAAAAAAAAAAAACGTTACTTAAATAGGGACAAATGTTACATCAAGCAAGTGTTCTTAAATAAACATTCTTTCTCTCTCCTCACCTGTCGCATCAGAACGGCTACACCCCTCTCCACATCGCTGCCAAGAAGAACCAGATGGAAATCGCGACGGTGCTGCTGCAGTACGGAGCCGAGACCAACATCCTGACCAAGCAGGGCGTCACCCCGCTCCACCTGGCCTCTCAGGAGGGACATGCCGACATGGCCGCCCTGCTCATCAGCAAGGAGGCGCAGATCAACGTCGCCACCAAGGTACTATTACTCTGAGTAATAATACGTCAACAACACGAGATCATCACAAGAGGAATTAGAGGAAAATATGTTTTTTCCTGAAATTATATTGAGTTTTTACTGGAAGAGCCGCTGTAATTATACCACTAATATGAAATAGCATGATTAGTTTAGAATTCCAGTTTGTATGACTGAGAGGGTGTACTGGAAAAATCTAAAAGTCTCAGTCCTTAATAGTACACAAGCAACCATCCAAATCAAAACTAATTCATCAGTGGGGTGCGGTTAGGTCAAGCTATAGTCCTCAAAGCGGGCAGGACCTGCGGCTCCTTTCCCGCATGTCATTCCCCTCCCACTCTCTCTCTCTCTCTCTCTCTCTCACCCTGGTTTCCTAGTTTATCCTCTGTCCTTTCAAAATAAAAGCATAAAAAGCCACAAAAATAAAAAGAAGAAGAAAACACATTTCATCACTAAATCAATAAAGTAATGATAGTTTAATGTAAGCTTCTGTTTTAAGGGAATATTTGTATCTAGCTTACAATGTCAGAAGAAGAGAGAGAGAGAGATAGAGAGAGCTTCAGCCTGGAGTGACTCTATGTATGTAGTGACTGTTGTGTGTGTGTGTGTTCTTCCTGCAGAGTGGCCTCACTGCTCTCCATCTGGCAGCTCAGGAGGATAAAGTGTCCGTCGCAGAGATTCTTGCCAGGAACGGAGCCAACCTCGACCAGCAGACCAAAGTACCATCCTGCATTCCTTACTTTCTCTCACCTTCTGGTTATAAGATAATCCGACTCCGCTGAATACGGTTTATTTACTGTGTTTAAGAGTTTATTCATAACGGGAGATTTTCTATAACGGATTCTCTTTTGTGTTTGCAGTTGGGATACACCCCGTTAATTGTAGCATGTCACTATGGAAACGCCAAGATGGTCAGCTTTCTGCTTCAGACCGGAGCCAGTGTTAATGCAAAAACGAAGGTACGGACGCTGATAATTATTATCACTGTGATCTTTATTCAACCAGTACTTCCTGTTACATCAACTGTTTGATATTTGTGTAATATTAACTACTTTTTATAAAATGCTGCTTTTTAGACGTGAAGCCTCATTTCAATAATGCTGAATCTTACTCTTTAAACCAGATCTTTTCAATGGTCTATAAAAGGTCACATATTCTCCTCCTCTTCTTCAGTGTAAATAAGTCTCAGAACTCCTCAAAACATGTGTGTGAAGTTTCTTGTTCTAAATCCACTCTGATCCTGTATTTGATCATGTCTATAAAACCCTCTATTTCAGCCCTGCTCAGAACATGCTGTTTCTGTGTCTGTACCTTGAAATGTAAGTGAGCTGTGTCTGACCACGCCCCCTCACTGGAAGGGATTGGGTGTACTCGGGCTAGCTCGCTCCATGTCCTATTGTTTACAGTGAGAAGGCAGACTCAGAGGGCAGAACAAACACCTAGCTGTGGGAGTGTCACCCACCTGGGGGAGGGGCTACTGCCCTTTGTGATGTCATGCAGGGAAAATCTCCAAACTTCCTATTTGATCACACATTTTCTGAAAAGTGGAGCAGGCAGAAGATGGAGAGGATATACTTTTCTCATAATTGGAGGGTTTGTAGACGGACTAGAGACACATGTTAGTGTTAGAGAAACATGGTGAAGTGGATTTTTACATAATATGTGACCTTTAAGATATTCTCATGTTCTGGAGACATGATTTTCTCCATTTTAATGCTCAGAAGTACTCTGTGTTTAAACCAAAAATTGCCTGTTGTGGCAATATCTGTAACGTCAAGAAACTTCCTCTACGTGGAAGAGAAAAGCATTTTCTAATGTTCTTGTCATAAACAATTTAATTAAACACATTTTACGTTGTCAGCAGCAGCAGCAGCTGTATTTCAGCGTCTTTTAGAATCAAACTTTGGTAAGATTTTATTTTTGTCATCGTCTTAACTTTATTAATTTGAATCTTCCCACCACAGAACGGATACACACCCCTCCATCAGGCAGCGCAGCAAGGAAACACACACATCATCAACATACTGCTGCAGAACGGCGCCAAGCCCAATGCTATCACTGTGGTACGTAAACACACACACACACACACACTTACTGTATAAACTGAACACACACACACACACACATATGGACACACACACTCATTTGCTGTGTTCTCTCATCCAGAATGGTAACACCGCTCTGGGCATCGCTCGACGGCTCGGTTACATCTCCGTGGTCGACACGCTGAGGGTCGTCACTGAAGAGATCATCACCACGACAACGGTACCAAACACACACACACCCGAAAGTCTCGAGTTATATTGAATGAAACCCCGTTTTGTTCTCAAGTTAAAGGTGATTTTTATGTGTCGGGATGAAATGTATTTCTGACAGTTGAACTTATGGATAATGTTTTTTTGACATTTATTTATCCAGATGAGTCTTGCTGAGATCATCACAACACATGGGACTTTTACTGAACAACAGTGTCAGCGTTTTTTTTAACTAAATAAACTGTTAGGGCCATATTTTTAAAAAACAAAAGTAACATGAACACAGGATTTTTCAGTAAATGCATGAGTCCAAGTCGAGTCCGAGTCCTGAAAATCCGTCTGTGAGTCGGTCTCTACAACACCGACTGCTATCTAGAGTCTAATCTGTTTCCTGTTTGGTTGCCAGACGGTGACGGAGAAGCACAAGCTGAACGTGCCGGAGACCATGACTGAAGTGCTGGATGTGTCTGATGAAGAGGGTGAGTCACAACACAGCCTGTCAACGTTAACCCACAATGCAACACTCCAACGGACAGATATCAGTCATCAACGCAGAGCTTTAAGTGGAGTTAATATTTGAGTCATCTGATGGCTCAAAGAAGCAGCTCATAGTGTGTGCTGATGTGACTGTGGGCTAGCAAGTTAGCCGTAGTTATTTTAGTTTATTCTCTGTATTCTGCTGCAAAAAAATTAGTTTGGTTGACAACTGGCCTAAAACTTCTTAAGGTACTCTTACAAACTGAGCAACAAGTCCAGCCTGAAACCAGTATGTTCATGGATCTTTGCTCTTTTTATCTTATTATGACTTAGAAAAACACATTAGCTTCCCTCACATTCTGTTTTTTGTCCCTTTGCGAACATTTCAGAATTCTCTTTTTACCACAAGTAGATTGTTCAGGAGGTACAGTAGTGAGTTTCTGTGCTGTCCACCCACAGTGTTGAGAGCCATTGATGATGATGATGATGTTATGTCAGACGACCCGATGGAGGAGGAAGGTATTCAGCACGAGGCTTTGTGTGAAGACTTGCTGTGCTGATCTGAAGAGGAGCTGTGTGTTGTGTGTTTTGCAAGATGAATGAGCCTGTGGTCTCTGCTAACACTAACTCCAGTCTGATGCTTTGAGCCAGTAAAGGGAGGAACAATACAAAAAAACAGCCTACCATGAACTGTGAAGCTTACTAATGGTCATGTTATATCTTGTACTGTTAATAATGAAATACTGGTTTGAAGAACAGTTATGTCGATAAAGCCAGGTTATCCGTTTAAGATCAGACGGTCAGCGGACGGTCAGCGGACTCAAATAAAACTCGTGCCATACATCACTTGAGAAAGCAAGTCAATGCCTGGTTTGTTTGTAGTGGTGTTTATAGAACTACATGAGCAAGATTACTAACTAAATTACATTTTATGAGTTTTCCAGATGTGCTCCTTCATTTCCAGTTACTCTTCCTTCTTTACGGTATCCAGAAAAGGAATGCCATCAGAGCACCTCTGTCTCACTACAATATGGATTTCACCCTTTAGTTTGTCTTCTCAGTCTACTGTAAAGATTAACAGTTTAAGGTTTACTTTGGAATCAAAGTCCTACATTAACCTCCTCTGCTCTGTCTGCTCGCTCCAGGTGATGACACGATGACAGGTGATGGAGGAGAGTACCTGAGGGCCGAGGACCTGCGAGAGCTCGGAGATGACTCGCTTCCCGGACAGTACATGGATGGAATGAACTACCTCCGCTTCAGCCTGGAGGGGGGACGCACTGACAGGTACGTACCGCTCTACAACTAATCATCTTATCAACTTAAGGCCCTGACACACCAAGGAGGGCGTCGGCCGTCTGTCCTAGTTGGACCTTCGGTGAGCGGTCGCCGTCCTAGTTTTTGCGGCACCCGTCGGCCTTTTTCGCCCAGTTCCACATGTAGAATCAACGTCGGTGAGAGGAGTCTCTCTGATTGGGTGTTGGGAGGTTTCATTTCTCTCCAGCTCTCTCAGGTTCTGTAAAGCCCCTTGAGCATGCCTCTGTGAACATGCTTTCACCCATTAGTGCAGTTTCTCCTTATTTGTCTCCTCCTCCTCTTCTTTTCTTTTTCCACTAAAAGACCAAGGACTGACAACGCCAGTGTCATTTTCTACTTTTTATCAGACATTATTCTCCATTAGTAGACTACCTATAATACGAGTGGTGACCGACACAGTGTGAAAATGGTCTTCTCATATCATAACAACAGACTACCGCCCCCTGCTGGCATGGAGAATTATTTCCTCTCACGCATGAGCAGAACGTACGTGGTGGTTGGCAGTCGGCTGTAGTCTTTGAGGTGTGTTCTAGTGCAACTTTTTGGCCAATACAAAAGGCGTCATGAGGCGACATGAATATGCTTGGTGTGTCAGCGCTTTTAAAGCAAATAAAAACCACAACGCTGTTCAGTTTGCTCAGTACACTCGTTAAAATGTTGTATGCATGACGTTCATATGTCATAAATGAACCAGTTAACTTTCCGTGGTGACCCTTTTTCTGTTTAACAATTGTTTCTGCTTGTTCTAACTTAAACCTGAATCAGTGTGTGTGCATCTCTATGACATCGTTTCAACTAACTCTCCTGTGTTCTATATGTGTTTGTGTGTGTTTGTGTGTGTGCAACCTCTCCTGTTCATTCTTCATCGTCGGTCTCCCCTGTCATGCCTTCATAGTCGAATGCAAAGGTATGTGCTGACGCTGGCCTCATGTGTGGCCTTTTAACTGTCGGGCACTCCTGAAAGTAACCTCCCATAAGTCTCCCGTTGACCGGCTCCTGAGTGTAGGCTTACTCTGTTTACTGTAATGTTTACATACATATTAACAGAAGTACAGTAGTCAGTAGATTAGCATAACTTTTAGTAAAGTGTAAGAAGTGTGTGAATCAATGCTAGCCTTGATGCTGTCAATTTTAATTTCAGAAATGTTTTCCTGTCTGTTTATGTTAAGAGCAGTTTTCTTCTTCTTCCAGTTCCGACCGGTCGTTCACGCCCACCCACCACAGCTACTACTCCCCCAAACATGATGGAATCATGGATGAGATACTCAACTGTCAGGTACACAACATCAACGATACTCACTATTAAAGCCGGGGAAGAATACACCTCGAATTAGAAATTGAACATCTCTGAAATGTTGTTTGTATCATTGATTTACTGTCCTTAAAGGAAGAATGTGCGACTTTTTTGATCCAGGAGATGTCGCCCTTGAGCACCACTCTCCTCCAGCGACACACCTCCAACCCCCCAACCCCCCTCCACTAAAAAGTTTGCACTAGGGAGCCGGCTGGAGCTGCACCTGTGTCCTGCATTGTTGTGTTAGCAGGCTGATGTTAGCGCTCTTTAGCTAGCTCGTAGCTTCACATTGCATGTAACCTGACACAGAATGAAAGTCCTAGGGGAGGTGCCAGCTGTCCCGTCCATGTAAACACGGCTCTGACAACAACACAGCCAGCGGGACTCAATCTTCTCATTCATTGTAGACAGACATGACTCAGAGACACATTTACACAGGATACACTTGATTTCTGATTTATTTACGTTTAAGATGTTGAACATTCTTCCTTTAAGCACCACTGAGAAGTTATTGTTCTTTATGTCAATAACGAGAGGTTTCTTGTTTTATTCAGGTTTCTTCACTTGGCAGAGAGAACGAGAGGGATTCGTACCGCCTGAGTTGGGGCACAGAGAACCTGGACAACATCGCTTTGTCCTCCAGCCCCATTCACTCTGGGTAGGTGCTGACACATGAAGAACAATAAATATACAAAGAAAAGGTTCAAATAAGGATGCTTACATACACTGAAGCATCTTTTGAATTCAAAAACATGCATTAACAATCTCTCAAATCAATCAGCGGCCTCAAAGCTGCTATAAAATACTTAACTTTAATAAGCTTTTTAAGTATTTTAACAGTTGTAATCCCAAACCAGTGTTACAACCATCTGTTTTATAGAGCAGCAGTGAGAAGTGTTTTCTCTAAAATGTACAAAGAATCAGCAGTAATCATCTCTTTTACATCGGCAGGATAATATGTATTTGTATTCTTTTTTTATTCTGATTATCTCACCTCTGCTGTTGTTTCTCCTCCGGGCTCTTCTTCCTCTCCTCTGAATTCTTCCTACCTGACTTTCGATTCGTCTCTGTCTGATGTGGTTTTGTTGTTTTGTTGTTTTTAGCCAATCCTCTCCGTGCCATGATCATGGAGACCACAGCAGGTGACCTTCTGCACCTTGGTTTAATCACTTCTCCTCCTCCTCCTCCTCATCTTCATCACTCTCTTCCTCCCCTCACAGTGTGCTCTCCTGGTGGAGAGGTGTTTATGTCACTGTCCTCTTCAGACATCGCCTCACTACCTCAGCTTTACAATGTGTCCAGTCACTTTAATCAGACTTAAATAGTCGAAATATCAAATTCAGTGTCTCGTTCTGAGTCCATGAGGCTCTCTTGTAAATACAGTATGTCGGGGTCTAAATGACTGATAGGTATTAAAGGTTTTTAAACGGCTCCAGTGGAAACTTAAAATAACCATCTGAGCCCGTCAGGAACAACAACTTTTAGTGGACGCACTCTGATTTTTGATTATTGGCCGTAAAGTTATTTTGCAGCCATTCCTGCCTCTGTGTTTGCTGCTGGTTGAAGCGATCTGCTGGAGCAAATCTCAGCATGTTAAATGTAAAATTAAAATGTGTAACATCTGGGTACAAAGAAAGGCGAGGTGGTGTATGATGAGGACATATTTGTGGATTTCATACAACGTGAACTGTGTACTTTCACTAACATACCACTCTTTCATGTTTGCCTTGAGAATAAGTTTACTTATAGCTATAAAGTATTTTCACATGTTGAATTGAAGTAAACCACTGGGGAGTTGTTCAGCAGTTTGAGGACATCATCGTGGCCTTGTATTCGTTTTTTTTGCTCATGTTGCTGAACTCATTAACACATGTTTTTATGTCTGTGTGTTTTAAAAGCTGTGATGTTTTGCTTAAAGGAAGAATGTGCGACATGTTACACATCAGAAATCAAGTCTATCCTGTGTAAATGTGTCTCTGAGTCATGACTGTCTACAATGAGTGAGAAGCTCGAGTCCTCCCCTTGTGTATAAAAGCTGTTTTAGTCAAGGACTAGAGAGAAGAAGAACATACTCACTGATTATTTGGATGTTACGTTAGCATTTTTATATCACGGTCATTCTGTGTCAGTTTATGTGCAATATGAAGCTACAAGCTAACTAAAGAGCGCTAACATTAGCATGCTAACACAACAACGCAGGACACAGGCAACTGCAGCTTGAGCAAAGTACAAGTTAGTCCACTGCTTGTGCTTAATGGTGCTTAATTATGGTGCGTTCTAATTGATACCTCCTTTGTGCTAACCAGAGGGGTTGGAGGTGTGTCTCTGGAGGAGAGCGGAGGCTTCAGGATGGAGGAGGTGTGGCCAAACAGCAGTTTGTTTTGGTTTTATGCTGGTGCTCAAGGGCGACATCTACTGGATCAGAAAGTCGCACATTCTTCTTTTAACTGAGACGAGGTTTAGATCACATCAGAACTGGGCATCGTATCAAGTTGTAATATCACCTCATCACACCCACACACCCCCCCTCATTGGAAGTGTGTGATCTCATGTACATACAGTATTTTCCACTTTGCATGGGGGGCTGGGGGGGTGAGGTCAAAGAGTTTCACATATGAAGACATAAAGGTTAATGCAACTTGGAAAATTTGTACGGAAACCATAATGTGATGAGAATTTAGACACTAAACCTGCAAAGCGAATACAGTAGACCTGTGTTTGCATGGCTTTGATTAGAAAACATGATAGGAATCACAGCAAGACCTTTAAGTTATAGGTTTTATTATGTGTGTATGTTTTATAGCCCTAACTGTAATATAGAAATATACATGAAAAACAAATTAGCCTTAAAGCACTTTTTTTTTTACATATTACATAGAATAATATACAAAGGCTAATATGAGCTAATGTTAGCCAGTTTATGTAAAACATTGCTGTAATTAGAAGTGGGTATAGCCAGCATGATTAGCAGGTTTTGAAGCCGTGAGCATGGCATTTTCACTGCTATCATCTTGGTTTTTGGTTGTTAGCAAGCGCTACATTATCAGTCATTGCTCATGCTAGCTTGGTTGGCAAAATGTGAGTCTAACAAAAAAAGGTCTACCAAGTTGCTTTGGTGTCTTTATTCTCATCACCTAATTATTAGATGTTCTTGGTCAATTGAATTAATTTGTGGCAATCTCTGCAGCTTCCTGGTCAGCTTCATGGTGGATGCTAGGGGCGGAGCCATGCGTGGTTGCCGGCACAATGGCCTACGCATCATCATCCCTCCAAGGAAGTGCAGCGCTCCCACACGGGTGACGTGTCGACTGGTGAAGAGGCACCGACTGGCCACCATGCCGCCCATGGTGGAGGGGGAGGGTCTGGCCAGCAGGATCATCGAGGTGGGGCCGTCTGGAGCTCAGTTCCTCGGGTAAGACTGCAGGGAGGGATGATGGAGTGAAGGAATGATTTTAAAGTAGCAAAAACATTCAGAAACTTCATGAAGGTGCGATTAATCTTTTTGGGCAGGTTTGGATATTTTATGCAAATTACCTTTTAAATTTTAGCCACAAAACTTAAAGTTGCATCTTTACTTTAAAGATGTGTTCAGACAAGAAAAGTGAAGCAACTTTTGTTTCGTCAGCACCGTTTCGTTTGCTCTGTCGAACGGCATGCGCCCTGTTTCACTGGGACCTTGTACTGACCCGAGCTAACAGGTCATCAAACTGGGACCGATCCTGATCCTAGCTAACGGGTCTCAAAGAGCTGGAAGCAGCAGGAAAGTTCAGACACATGCCGTTATAAAACCGAACATGATAAGGCAGGATGGACCTTTTTTCAGGGATTGTGTTTAATCACAATTAAAGAATTTATACTTTTCACTTTTGTCTGAACACAGCTTTATAAGGAACAGAAAAACATGAAGAAGTCAGCCCCACAGTACATGCTTCCTCCTTAAATCCCTTTTACTGAGAAGCTTTCAACTTGCTGCCCTTTTTTCTTTCTGATTAATTTAACCTCTGCCTCTGCCGTACTAAACTTGTTTCTGTATCTGCTCTTGCTTCTTCTCCCAGCGCCAGGGTTCTGTGAATCTTTGCTCTTCAGCATGCCTTGTTTTCTTTCATAACAGCTGCTGTCTAACCTGATCCCTAACCCTCTACAGAGAAGCTTTTTTCTTATTAACTCCACCTGCAGAATACTGCACCATGATTGGTTTGATATGTGTCCTCACAGTCTGCCCTCTAGTGGTTAAGTTTGGGGCAGTATGCGTTTAAGCAGAAGTTAAGAGCTCGATTAATATTTAGTTATTTAAAGAAGACAGGAGCCCTAAGTCGACATGCAGCCGTACATTTTACTGAACTCTGTTTTCCTGTGATAACGAGTAATTTCCAGATCTCAACTTATTTATTTCATTATCTCTGGATAACAACACTGCTTTTCCTCTGATTATGAGATAACTTCTGGGTTTGCCAGATATGAGAGCAGTTATCAGGTCAACAGGTGTTGCAGCGATGGAAGCGGGCAAAAGAAGTGGTTCAGATAGAAGTGATTGTACCCGACCTAAAAAGCCTCTGCATGTTTCTAATAAGCTCCACGAGCAGAAACGTGCTCAAACTAGGATCAATATTGGAGATGTTTTTGAAAAATGGAGAGAGGTTAGAACACAGAAAGGTTTACAGACCGATGCAGAGCTGGATAAACACTGAAGCTTCAGTGTTCACACATGGTGACCTGTGTGAGCATCGACTCTAGAGAGGAGGTGGCGGGGGAGACAGCTCTTTCTAATGTTTTGAATTTGGACTGCAGTACTCATTTTAAACACTAGGGGTCAGAGTTACATACTGCTCCTTTAATGCTTATATTCAAAGAATAAAATCCCTGAGGTGTTTTAGTTATCTATTTTAAATGTTCCCACACTGACATTCAGCTTAAAATGACCACACTGTTTATGACCTCTCTCAACTGTTTTACACGTTCCCAAAAGTTCCTGTTTTTCTTTTTTTGCACCAACAAAAACATGACGTGTCCTCTTTTCTTCCTCACTGCTGCGTTTGGATGATCACACAGTAAACTCCACCTCCCAAATGCCCCCCCACCTCTTAATGAGGGGGAGAGTTTGGTTAGCAGAATCCTGCAGCTTGGCCCGCCGGGGACAAAATTCCTGGGGTAGGGTGGAGATAAAAATCTATGGTTATGCATATGAAACAATCCATGGATGCCGATCTTATTTCTTCCATTCACAAACAAAACCCTTCATTCGCATGTGCTTTTGATTTCCAGTGTCTTGTACCCCGCCGAGACATCCCATTACTGTTTCCAACTTGATTTGAATCCCTCTTTTCTGCTTAGCCTCTTCCATTTCTGTGTTTGTGTTTTCAGTGGTTTTCTTGAGAGATGTGTCTTAGATCACGTGTTTTATTGAATTTATGTGTGAAATCTCAAAGTTTTTGTGGCCTGTGAGGAGCTAAGGAACTTAGTAAAGTTTGACTGCATACTGCGGCTCTGCATGGAGCTGTTTTATTTGATCGACCCTTAGTTTACCTCAATAATCGTTCCAATACCTGTCACTGACTTTCATGAGTTATGAAGAATCTTTTGGCAGGAAAATGCTCAGGAAGTGATCTGGCACCTCTCCAGCTACCAGACCAATTTTCTAGATTTAGACCGCACTGGGATTTGAACCGGCGACCCTCTGGTACCCAACCCAAAACCATACAGACTGAGCTTCTGCCACCCAATAATTCAACAAATGTCAACATTAAAAAACTTATTTCAGTATAAAATCTGATCAATAAAGTCACAGAATTATTTGTGATGTGCAATTGAGTTGAGGACAGAAGCAGTTCTATATACATGTAGCCCTGTTTCCACAAAGCGGTCCGGTTTGGTTCAGTATGGTTTGATACGGTAAACAAGGATCTGGCTTGCGTTTCCACAGCCAACCGTACCCTTACTTGGTAAGCAGAGTGTAAGCCAGATAGTGTTAGCAATGTCAGCTACGTAATAGCATGACATATCAGCATCGGACAATGTAGCCCGCCAAGGAATTAAGCGAAGAAGAAGAACAGTAAACAAAGGGCGACAATGTAGGACGTCCAGTAGAGGTCTGCACCTCTGACGTGTCCATGCGGCGAAGCTACGCACTGACATTAGTGTGTTACTGTTAAAAATAACCAAAACAAACAAATATAACGAGGCCACAGAACCCTTGAAATATCACGTGAATATCAGAAGTTATATTAAATAGTCACGTCTGTCCCTTGTTGTATCGTACTCGTTGCATGCCTCTTATAGATATGTGTTTTTTTCACATCAGGTAAGTCTTTAAGAGAATGTTTCATGTTCAATATAATAAATCTAGAGTTCAAGATTTTTTAAACATAGGCCCTACTTTTTAACAAATTCAGGGTCTCAAATACTAGAAGTTTAGAAGTTGTTTGATTGGTCCAGTCGATTGCTTCAGCTGGCAGGAATGAACCAGGCATACAACCATATGTACCCAAACACAAGTGTTTGCACACACCCGAATGGCAATAAGAAATGCATACTAAAACTACTATCAATTAAGATTGATGCACACGATTGGTTTTTAGGATCCATTTTCTCACTTCATGGGGGGGAAAAAAAAATTATGCAGATTTTAAAATCTGTGGGAGCTTGTTCCACTCCTTTTTGGCCTAAAAACTGAATTTCCCCTCTCGGGATTAATAAAGGATAAATTATCATTATTATCAAAGGAAAAAGCAGATTGTGCGAACGAAGTACCTGATTTTGGAGTGTGACAGTGCCCCCTAGAGGTTGAACAGTGGCACTGCTCATATGTTCAGAGCAGGGTGGAACAAATCCCTTAAGGGCATTATTTTGAATTATCGTAAATACTTATCGGACTGATGAATATGTAATCAACGTTTGTGGTATTTTATGTTACTTAAGTTTGTTTGAGAATCTAATTATATCACAAACTGGAAATTCTGAGATTCTGCGGGGGAAAATTACTGCTGTTGTCAGATGTGTCTGCTGGCATGCAGCCTTTACAGCATGTTTAACAGCTTTAGGTTGGTCGAAGCAATCTACTGAAGAAATCCCAAAACATTTTGTACTGATGAATCATTTACACCCCAAATTACTGAAAAACTAGGGCTTACTTTTTCCATTCAGGTCAATTACATCCACATCATGTCCTTAGGCCCTTAAAATACACTGATACCACCCGTGGCATTCAGTACTTATTAACCCGTATGTCTTTGCCTCTGACCCTCCAGTCCTGTGATCGTGGAGATCCCACACTTTGCTGCCTTGCGAGGTAAAGAGAGAGAGCTGGTCATCCTGAGGAGCGAGACCGGAGAGAGCTGGAAGGAGCATCACTGTGAGCACACACAGGAGGAGCTCAACCAGATCCTCAACGGCATGGACGAGGGTCAGTCTCTGATGACCAAGTCGTATTAAACATGTTCTTTTATTCCTACATGAACGTCCCTGACACTTGTCCTTTTCTGACCCCCTTACATCAGAGCTGGACTCACCGGAGGAGCTGGAGAGGAAGCGCATTTGCCGCATCATCACTAGAGATTTCCCACAATACTTTGCGGTGGTGTCACGCGTCAAGCAGGACAGTAACCTGATTGGTCCCGAAGGAGGCATCCTGAGCAGCACTGTTGTACCCCAAGTACAGGCCGTGTTTCCTGAGGGGGCGCTCACCAAAAGGATCAGGGTCGGACTACAGGTAATAGCAAGGAGTCATACGTGGAATACAAGTCAAAGGTTAAATGCGGTTCTCTGTGATGACGATGCATCCAATGGGGAACATGAATATTGGTACTGAACTATGAGGAGGTTCTCTGATAGTTGCAAAGACATTTCTCTCATGTTGGTGGATACACTCCAAACAAAATCCCTCTAAATGAATGTTCCTTTCATGCCATGTGAATGAAATTTTCCTTCCCGGGAAAGACAATACCCCTGTGTCAGATGTATTGATGATAAAAAGTGAAAAGAAATGATCATCTCTCTCAGACCCAGCCGGTGAATGTGGATGTAGTGAGGAAGATCCTCGGGAACAAGGCCACCTTCAGCCCCATCGTCACCCTCGAGCCCCGCAGGAGGAAGTTCCATAAACCCATCACCATGACCATCCCCGTCCCCAAGAGCAACTCTGACCCCGTCCTCAACGGCTTCGGAGGGGACACGCCCACTTTACGACTCCTCTGTAGTATCACAGGTGAGAACATGGGCACTGAAATCTGTTCATAGATCAGCCGGACTCGTGTTTACATTGTTGTGGGTTCATTTGGGGATTGTGTGCATTCACAGGTGGAACCACGCCGGCTCAATGGGAGGACATAACAGGAACCACTCCGTTAACGTTCATCAATGACTGTGTTTCCTTCACCACCAATGTTTCTGCACGGTAACACAAAAAACAAAACAGACTCCTTCACTCAGAGTCATCTGCCAACAAAGAAATAACACTTCTGTTGTTGTTATTTTCTTACAGATTCTGGCTCATAGACTGTCGACAAGTCCAGGAATCTGTCAACTTCTCCACCCAGGTGTACCGGGAGATCATCTGCGTCCCCTACATGGCAAAGTTCGTCATCTTTGCAAAGACCCACGATCCCATCGAGGCACGCCTCCGCTGCTTCTGCATGACGGACGACAAGATCGACAAGACCCTGGAGCAGCAGGAGAACTTCACAGAGGTGGCCCGCAGCCGAGACGTAGAGGTGAGGAAGAAGAGTGGAGGAGGAGGAGGAGGAGGAAAAGGATTCAAAATTCTTAATTGTCCCACAAGGGGAAATTTGCGTTGCAGCAGGAGCACACAGAAGACAAGAAACACAAGCACAACATCACCATGAAACATAAACGACAACTTATTCTCAAAAAATCAGACGGCACAACAAAATATAAAACCAAATAAAACATGATAAAACATCACAATAAAATCAGTGAAGAGCTCTTACCAAAATGGGAATTCCTACCAAGTAGAAGGAGAAGGACAAGTGGAGAATGCTGAATAAAAATGTTTAATACGTAAAGGATTTTTTCGTCCGGTGTTGGAATAAAATCACGAGAACTCTGCTGGACTTCTGGCAAAGAAGAGTCATTTTAGATCTTAGTAAAAAAAAAAAATCAGAATTAGGCAGTAACATTTATGAAAAGGCTTTATTCAACTGTGATATTAACGTTTTTTAAGAAGGATTCACAGTTGTTCAAAGGTTATTAAGCTTTATGACTTGATGTTGAATGGTTACGTTGGTTGTGTGTTTGATGGTTTTTGTTTTTGTTATATTTCCCAGGTCCTGGAAGGCAAACCCATCTATGCAGACTGCTTTGGAAACCTTGTTCCCCTCACCAAAAGTGGCCAACACCATCTCTTCAGCTTCTTTGCCTTTAAGGAGAACAGACTCGCACTCTTCATCAAAGTGAGCCCTTAGCTTCTTCCTTTCGTTGTGTTCAATGTGCGATTCTTCCTGATCAACATTTACTGACGAGCGCTGCACTTTTCATCTGCTGCAGATCAGAGACAACACTCAGGAGCCGTGTGGCCGTCTGTCATTTATGAAAGAACCCAGAAACTACAGGTCACTCGCACAAAACGCCATCTGCAACCTCAACATCACACTCCCATCATACTGCAAGGTAAGAGGACAGTACTGTGGTGAGAAGAGGATATCTCACTAGTGGCAGTTTGTACATTTCATTTAACACTAAAAGCACAGCAATAAAATACTTAAAATATTGATATAAGCTAATTTTCCCTTCACTGCTCTAATACATTCTAATCTCAAGCCTTGATTGTTTTCTTACATGGTGCTTCATTGCATCATTTCTTATTTGTTACATAAATGTTTGACACCCAATGTAGCTAAACATGCTAATTTTATCAGCAGCTAACAGCATTGCTTTATAGTGATGGTTGACAACCTCCCCCGTTAGCCCACCTCAAGGATGTGCAAGGAAACGTCTCAGGCTTTTTGCTTTGAATCACATCAGACGAATCTTAAAATCAGTGATTAATGCATCCTGCATAATGTGTTAGAAAAGTTGAGTGTACATTTAAACTCTGCATTATGTGCAAAAGATACAAGACACACCCATATCCCATCAGGGGTGGCTTGAAGTTTCTTTGACAGAGGTGGCCCAACTGGGTCTCTGAATTATCCAGGTGTGACTGGAAGTTTGTGTGCACACACACGAGTGAATAGCATTTCTTTACACTTTCTATCTCTACTTATTATATCTAGAGTATCTTAGGAGGTTATATTCCTGTGTATGATATCTTATGAGCTTAATGCTTTAAGGACTCAAAGAAAAGATGTTTGTCCAAGTCACAATTCTTAAAACTTATCAAAGGAGAAGTAGCACTTTGAAATGTAAAGGAAGCTACAAGCAGCCTGATGTATCCCCTATCTGACGAGGCAAATAACCACATTTTTGAGTCAGCACTTTGTGGACTATCGGGTTCCCAGGGGTCCAGGCCACCCCTGACCACCTCCTGGATCAGTCCCCTTCAATCCCCATCTACCAGCCTGAATGTCAAACTATTTGATTTAGAAAAGGTCCAAACACATTTTTTTTAGGAGCATGCAGAAGCTGAGTAGCAGATATTTTGGGGGGTTTAAACCTTTAAAACATCACATTTTGTTTTAGCCTAACAAGCTCCTTAAAGACCACTCTCTTCCCCTGAAATCACACTGACTTGTTGTCTCTGTTTTGTAACCACACATTGCTCCGTTGTCTTTCTTGCCTCCCTTTTAATGTTGCTAAATGTTGTTTCTATCTGTACACCTTTCTGCTTCTCGCTGCTTTTTGCTCCCAAAAGGATTCAGATTCAGACCAAGAGCAAGAGGAAGAGGTAAAAGTAGCCACCGCTTCTCCCCCTCTACTAACTAGCTCTGCTGACATTCCCTGTCTGCTGTTTTCTTATCAGGACTAATTTAACACGTTCATATGGAGGCTTTGAAGGAACAAGGAGGGGGGGGTGCTTTCAAGTTGATCCTGAGATACTGATACAAATCTTAAAACTGTGAATATATTTCAAACTTTATTGAGTTCAGTCAATTGTAGGATACTTTTTAAGACAAGAGGGTCTCTGTAGACTAAATGTTGTGTTTGAATGTCTCTCCCTTATGTTAAAAAAACATGCCAACTGGTTCCCTGTGGCCCATCTCAAAAGTCAGTTTAGTGAATCTAATCTCTGCCCTGGGTTTTTGTACTCCTCCATTATTGAGTCTTTAGTGACTGTGACTTAAAGCAGGAATTCAACTGAATGTAATACTGCGAGATCATGCAAAAGTTTCTCAAAATCATGCAAAAGTTGCTGAGGGTCTTGCAAAAGTTTCTAAGTATGCTGCAAATGTTTCGCAAGATTTTACATAATTTTCTTTGGATCTGACAAAAGTTTTGCAGCGTCTTGCAAAAGTTTCTTAAGATTTTGCAAAAGTTGCTCAGGATCTTACAAATGTTTCTCAGGGTCTTGCAGAAGTTTAGCAGGTTCTTTTAAAAGTCTCTCAGGATCTTGCTAAAATTGCTTGGGGTCTTGCAAAGTATCTCAGTATGTTGCAAAAGTTTAGCAAGATCTCGCACAAGTCTCTCTAGATCTTGAAATGTTTCTCACAATCATGCAAAAGTTTCTCCAGATCAACTTGAATCCCCTCCGTGTCCCTTATCGGGCCTCTGTATGTTCACAAGTTATTAAATGTTAAATATTTTAGATATGTAGTTTATGTTATAGAGTGTGACTTGTCAGTGGTGTGGCTCATTTTTGCCGTCATTTTATTTGTTTTATTTTTTGGTAATTTTTTCCAAAGTAGCAGTTTTTCCTAGTTTTAGATGTTATGTTACACTTAAAGGACAAACAGTAAATAACACACGTGACTAACTGATACATTTCTTAATGTTTTCACAGGTCAGCAGGACGCAAGAGAAATGTAAGACATTTTAACCTCTTCAATTTCCTTCATAACATGAAAACAGCTGCTTTATTGTAACACTGTATCTGCATGTCTTTAGTAACCAGACTAATATATGTGATATAAATGGCAGAGGAATAACTAGACTGACATTGCCAGCTTAGCACTTAATTGAATAACAGACCACATAGATCTTATCAAAGCCTTTTAAGCTTCATGTATTTTTGTCTTTTTGTCAAAAAGGCCTTACCTGCATCCCTCCATGTCCATGTTCTGTTTCTGACGAGGCTTAAACTTCACTCTTACTTTCTTTTCTTTTTTCTTTTTTTCTGATCACACCTGCCTCCGCATCTTCGGTTTAATTCTTTCCCCTTCACAATTTGAGATCGGAAATATGGAGAAAGACTTAGACATCTACGTATGTACAGGAAAAATGATGTCATTCATACTGTGGTGATGTCTCTGTGACAGTGGCGTCTGATTTAGTGCTGGCCGTACGCTAGCTGTAGCCCTAATGTAGTCACAGTGTCGTTTCCGTTATCATGATCCTTGCACCAGTTGGGTAGAAAAGTAGCTCCTAACAAAGTTGGGTTACGTAACAAACATCGTCATAGAACAAAAGTGAGGAATGAGTGCAGGTCAGTGTAGTTACTGATTTAGAGTTTTTAAATATGTCAGGTTTTAACTGTAGCGAGTGCTATGTTATTGTGATATAAGACTTTGCAACAAACATTACAAAAGTCTAAATTTATCCCAAAAACTAAGAAAAAGTGATGCTTTCTTACACAGCATGTGAGCACTTTACCTGTTGGGTGAAGGTTGGAGTATAATGGCAATTCTTTCACATTATTTAATGTAATTTCATGAAGCTTAATCAGATACCCTCAGATTAATTGGTGCCAATTTAGTGGTAGAAAAAACAGATTTTTCTCAGGAGACAAATGTTGCAAACACAGGTAGACAAAAAAACAGAGTAATGCCTTATTTACTTTTATAAATCACACTTCATATGCAATACTGAACAATGTTATCGCACATTGCATATTCTTGTTATATCCTGCAGGCCTAATTGTGACCTTGAATCAAAATTCAAATCAAAATGCAGAAATTGGAGAATTAACACCCGTAGTCACTACTACAAACTCTAGCAGCTAGTAGAGAAATGAGAGCCGCTTGAGATGAAATGAGAAACCAATGCAAAGTAGCTGATACAGCCTTCCTCTTCAGTCCTAATCCTGCTGTGTCCTGTAGTTTGTGCTACGCTTTGGTGGGAAAATGCTACAACCATGGGTCACCCAAATTTAAAAAGTTAGTTGCTCATTTCCATTTTGCTTACACGGTTTTTGAAACTGGATGCCTGTGATTTCACAAGCACTTAGTTCCAGAAGATAAGAGGCCAAAATATTAGTATCCTATCTTTAGCCATAACCCTGGAGTTTAATGGTAACCCTTCCCTTTCTTGACACATTGATTTGGTCATGTAGTATAATGGAAAAAAGGCTCAAATTTATTTGAAGTTAAAAGTAAAGAAACCTAATCTACACTGTGAGAGAAATTTCTTCCAAAAATATGTGTATTGCTAGTTCTCTGAAGAAGTAGAAACTTTGCTGTTATGAGTCAAAAACCCTTTTTACTAAATGCAGCACGGAGAGAAGACATTACAGAAGTTCTCTCCAGACAGTCAGACTCATACTGCCTTTTATACAGAAACCATCAAACAACAATAGATCAATTCTTCAAATGCAGTCACATTGTCTCATACAGTAGGAAGCCAAAGGGACAGTCAGGAAGTCACTGATTAAAATACAGGATGTTTCACACCTCTGCTCTCAGCTACTTCTGTTTCAAATGTCAGTTTAGTCAAAATTCCCTTACAACACGGGTAAGATGTTATAGATGAAACAAAGTTCTATGTAACAGACATAGGACACGTCCATTTACTGTTACTGATACTTACGGTGTATGGCGTCGCAGCATCTTATGTAGACCGACCAATAACCCACCACACGACTGGATGAACACGTATTAGATGGAGGATCCTCAAATAAGGGTTTTAGTCCATAAGCATAACCTTCCCCTCACTCTTCTACCACCACCTGACCATCAGCCCTTCCCTTTGCTTTGCATGGAAATAACTTGGCTTACATAAACATGTGTGTGTGTGATTGTACGTCTGAGTGTTTCATGTCTTGTTAATGAGAGTTGATTTGTTTTGATGTTGGTGTGCTGACTTTTTTTTATTCTTTACATACGCTGTTTACTCGTGTTTTTTTTTGTTATCTCAGTTTTCATTTCAGATAATAAAAGACTAAGCGGAAGCCGGAGGGAATTAAAATGTTGTCCCTTTCTGTCACATTAAAGAGATCTTCCTTCCTTCTGAGATTTTCTCAAAGTCTGCTTTCTCTAGAATGAAAAGCATGGCATCTCATCGTGTTCTGTAAAAGTTATCACTGGCTTTCTTTGATAGACACAGTCGCATTCTTAGTTGTTTTCCAAATCCATTTTTTGCCTGCTACCAAGCAATCTTGAGATGTTTCTTTTTTGTTGTTTGTATTTCTGTTTGTAATGCCGTTCATAGTTCATAGTCTGTGTCATTTATTTTTGTGTCATAGTTTTGACTTTTGAGTGTGGGTGCGTTGAGTGTACAAGCAAGTTATTTCCTGCTCATATCATTTCCCATCAGCATTATTTAGACTTTGCTTTTCCACACTTCCCCAAAAGACATGAAAGTATAAGCCCCAATCCTCTGCTATCCTGATGTAGAAACCTGCTGTAAATGTGTTGCCCTATGATCCCTGCAGTGTGTTCCAATCTTGTCCTGACCACACTCTCCAATGTCTGTCTCCTTTGATTTGAATTTTTGATTTTCTTTACTCCTTACTTGTTCTTCTTCCGTATGGAAGATGAAGAGACGGAGACATCAGTCCTGAAATCAGAGCTGATCCGAGAACCAGACCTCCTATCCGACGTGTCAGAGATGAAACAGGATTTGATTAAAATGACGGCCATCTTGACCGCAGACTCGACAGAGAAATCCTCTTCTTTAAGAGGGTGTGGTCTAGAGGCTGAGGATGTTTCCGGAGAGCCGTTAGAAATAATGGAGAAGGACTTAGAGAAAGTCAAAGAGGACCTAGAGAAAGTCAGTGAGATACTGAGGAGCGGAACATATGAGGGTGAAGCTGCAGCGGAGTTAGCAAAAGCAGCTAGAATGGCAGAGGAGTGGGTTCTCCTCTCAGACAGCGAGATAGAGGAGGCCAAAAGGATGGCAAAATTAGAAACTCAAGAGCCTGTCTTACGGGAGACTAGAGCAAACAGAGGGGCTCCCAGGCCTAAAGCCATAAAGGACAGTGGTGACCTTAAAGAATACCTCCTGGATGCACCGGTCAGCTCCAAAACAAAAGCTAAAAAAGAGCCAGCTGCTCAAGAAAAATTCACCGATGTTGTTCTCCGCAAAGGTGCAAAACCAACCACTCCAACCAAAGCGCAGGACAAAACTGCTGCTGGTAATGTTAAAAAGCCAGTCAGGAGAAAGGGAAAAGACCAGGTAGAGGAGTCGACAGATGCAGGTGCTCTGCTTAGTGTGCCTACAGCCCCTTCCCCAGCATCACCTGTATCCCCGGTGGTTGAAGAAACTCCCATTGGGTCAATAAAGGACAAAGTCAAAGCCTTACAACAAAAAGTAGAGGCAGAGCAAAAGAGCAAAAAAGTCACTGGAAGCAAGCCTTCACAATTGCCTGTTATAAGCAAACCTTCTCCAAAAGCCAAAGAAAGCCCTAAATCAAAACAGGGCCCGCCTAAATCCCCCAAAGCTGAATCTGAAAAACTTGAGGAGACCATGTCAGTTAAGGAACTCATGCAAGCCTTCCAGACGGGGCAGGACCCCTCAAAGAGAAAATCTGGGTTATTTGAGCTCAAGTCATCCACAACGTCAAAATCAGAGAAAACAACTAAATCAGAAACCATCCAGTCAAAATCATCAGCCAAAGCTGCAACCTCACGAGTCTCTCAAGAACGAGAAGTGTCTTTGGATTCCAAACCTCGCAAGAAAGCTGCTGAGGCCACTCAGCAGGACAAAGAGAAAGAAACCAAACCAGTTGCTGGCACCCATTCAGAGCTAACTGAAACTGTAGACTTTGGAAATAGTGGCCTTGATGATAGCTCTGACAGCTCCAAACATGAGGGTGTGGCAGAGTCACTAAGTGCCAGTTCAGGAGATGCAACCCCTCAAATGAGCTCCGAGGACAGTTTCAAACACGAGGGTCTTGCTACTCCAAGCACAAGCCCAGAAAGTCTTTGCCTTTCTCCAAAAACTGGACAGCAGTCGTCTATAACATCTGAAACAGTCAAAAAAGAGAGTAAAGAGACAGAGCAGTCTGCAGACTCTGGAGTAGGGACCACTGGTGCCCAACTCTCTACAGAATTGGCCCTCCCTGCCTCTTCCAGCGAGGCTGCTGAAGACCACGCTACAAGTGAGTCTATTTCTGTTAGGAGGAGTGAGCCTAAGCCAGCCAAACCTCAAAAGCTTACAAAGAGAGTTTCAGAGACTGTAGAAACGTTTCTTAGCGATGACGACAGCCCTGTTCGTCAGCTAGAATTGCCTTTAGTTGGTTCTTCAACCTCGTTATCCTCTTTTCAGCGTCATGATAGCTTAGAGCTGGCTTTAAAGCAGGACTCCGATGCCCTCAGTCCATTAGCTGACGACTCTTTGACAATAAGCCACAGAGACTCTCTAGATGGTAGTCCTCTCATGGACGAAAACTCCTCCCATAAATCCCCAGACTCCATTGAACCTAGCCCAACCAGGGAATCCCCCCCTCATGACTCATTAGAGAGTAGCCCTGTAGAGCAAAAAAGCCACCCATCTTTCCCATCAGCTCTAGGTCCATCTAGTGAACCCTCTAGCCATCCAGAGCCTTCCAAAGCTACAGAGTTCCCCCAAGATGCTTTGCGTGGTAGGCTGCTCCGAGACCATGAGCCTAGTGCTGATGATGACAGTTGTGAGCAGACGTCTCAGATGACAAGTTCGGGTAAGAGTCCCCTCTCTCCTGACACTCCTAGTTCTGAAGAGGTAAGTTATGACGTAAACCCCAATCCCCCAGACCATTCATTCCTAACTGTTCCATCCACATCGGCTGTCATCCCCGAAGACCCAGAAGAAGAGGAGACATCAGACAGCTATGAAGCTCAGAGAAAAATTACTCCAGAGGAGGAAATGTTTAAGATGGCAGCCAAAATAAAAACATTTGATGAAATGGAACAAGACGCAAGGAGCAAAAAGAACTCTAGAAAAGATGCCAAAATAGGGGATGACAGCTATGAAAAGTTAGACTCCACAAGTGAGAAGCTTTCACAAAGTGAATGTGGGCTCAATAGACCCACTGAGGATTCAAAGTTAGCTCTTTTTGTTGATCCTCATAATAAAGTACAACCTCCCTCTCCTTTTTCAGCAGGTTTGCATGAAGGATCCCACAGCAAAGAGGTCAAGAGCACAACAACAGCCAATGTAACTTCAGAGGGATCTCACTCTGTCTCAGACAAGCATCATTCAAAGTCAAATCTGGAAACTGCACCGGAACATAGTGTCCCACAGTCTGTAAAACCTGTTGAAGACAGCACTGCGAAAAAGGCTGCTGCAACGCCAAGCGCTTCTAACAGGACTGATGAGCAAAAGGAGGAGAGTTTGAGGAAGTTTAAAGAAACCAAAGGAGATGATAAGGACGGTCAAGAGTCAGATGGTAGCAATCGGCAGACCGGTGTGCTAAAACAAGGCAATAATGTAACAGATGAAGTGAAAGGAGATAAAAAGGGGCCCACAGGAGCGCCAGAGGCTGGACACAGTGCAACTGGTGCCTTGACTCTAACAACAGAAAAGTTCAAACCGGAGGTGTGTATCTATGACGACACAGAAGAGGATGATGAGGGAATAGAGCCTCCGAGAACTGAATCAAAAGGAGTCACTGCACGAGCAGACACCGACTCGTGGTCAGCCATGAGGGAGGACGACGCCACGTTTGAAGCTCGTGTTAAAGAAGAGGAACAGAAAATACTAAATCTGGTAGTGGACCGTCAGTCTCTACAAACAACTCCAGACACAACACCTGGTAGAACTCCAACAGAAGAAAGCACACCCACCAGTGAGCCCAACCCTTTCCTGTTTCAGGAGGGGAAGCTCTTTGAAATGACCCGAAGTGGTGCTATAGATATGACTAAGAGGAGCTACGAAGAAGAGGGTGCTGGGTTTGCCTTTTTCCAATTAGGTGAACAGCCTGTAGAGGAGCCTCCTTTAGAAGAGGCCAGGCAAGAAAGTATAGGAGCAGCAGCAGAACCTGAAGTTGGCCTCAATCTAACATTAGAGATTAAAACTGATGAGCCTGAGAAACCAAAAGAAAAAAATGATTCTCAGCTTCAGTCCCCACCTGAAGGTGACCAGCAAACCTCTAAATCTGATACCTCCAAATCTAAAATCCCTAAAATGGGCATAGCAGCTTCAGCCAAACCTACAAAGAAAGATCAGACATCCCCTGAAAGTCTAGAAGCTAAAAAAGAGAAAAAGATCAATGAAGCAAGCTTAGATTTAGACACAAGTTCCCCTGACCAGCTGATAACAAATGTACAGACAGCAGAAACAACAGTCACTAGATCAGTTTACCCTGAGCAAGGACAGGAGTCCTCTGATTCATCCCCAGAGGAACCACAGTCAGTGATAGAAGCCCCAAAAAACACAGGAAAGTCCAAACAAAATGCTTCCAGTAGTGTTAAAAAGACCCCTGTCAAAACACCCGCTAAATCTGCTCCTCAAGGTCGGGGTAAATCCTCAATCCCCTCTCCATCCCATTCAACCCCCTCTTCAACCACTCTCAGAAAAGAGCCCTCTTTCACTTCAGAATCTAAATCTAGAATTCCCGTCAAGGCTAGCGCTCCAAAGCCTGACTCAAATGTCAAACGTGCTGAATCCACTCAGGACAAAAAGCTGAAGGTCCCTGTCAAAAAGGATCCAAGAAGAAAATCTGAGACAGATGCAGGTCCCTCTGTTGATGTCAAAACCAAGACATCTTCTCCCAAAGCCAAGAGCTTCTGTGAGGGAGAGTCTACCAGGCCGTCTGCTAAAAAAGAGGGTCGCCCATTGAGCGCAGAATCAGCAAAATCTAAAAGCTTCCAGTCCAGGTTGCCAGTTCGAGGAAAAAGCGGTCAGACATCTCCTCTGACGACGCCGACTAAAGAGAAAGTCGAGCCACAAAAACAGTCCATTGAATGCTTCGAAGAGATAGCCGATGAAGCAGCAAAACTTGTGGCGAGGTTGGCACAGGCAGAGACAGAACGGGAAGCTGCAGCGGCCATCTCAGACGATGAGAGCAGTCTCATTGATACGTCAATCATAGAAAGAGAAACTTTCCCTGAGATGCAGTTCCCTCCCTCAGGAGACGTCTTTCCCATTAGACCACTGTGGGACGACCCTGTTGAGACACAGATGCAGCGAATCCCAGACGATAAAGTCCAAAGTCAAGGTATCCCCCCAGTTTAAGGGGCCATTCTCTATTTCTTTAGCCTCATTAGCACACTGTAGCTGTAAAGGTGCTGCCTCTCTGTCTCTTGTAGTTCAGTCCCATTGTAGTTGAAGAATCCATGTGGTTGTGTCACTTGAGCTGTGTTTATGTTCGTAATGATGTCTCTCTTTCCTTCTGTGGAATGTGTGCTGAAAGTCTCAAGATTGACTTAAAGGCTTTATGGAAGTTGTAAAAACAACTAATGACTGAAAACAAGGATTAAAGAGTAAACAATTAGTCAAACAATCCAATGTAATGTCATTACATCTCTAGTGAAACTGTTGTAAATTTCCTAATAACTATGGCCTTGTACGGTTTATTAAAAGCCTCTTCACCGCCAAGTTAATTCAAGCCTTAACCTGGCTTGAATTGAACTATTTGCACTTGTAGAATAAGAAAGCCAGTGAGGACTTTATTATTTCTGTGAATGTGCCTTGATTTGTTCTGCCTTGCGGCGCTGACCGCTCATGGCTGTCTGGTGGTATTTGCAGTAGATCCACAGGATGAAGCAGAGAGAAAAGAGCAACGGTTGGCCATTATAGCCGACCATCTGGGCTTCAGCTGGACAGGTGAGTCACACCTTGATGCCAGTGATCAAGCTATCGAAACATTTTTCCAGGCCCCTAAAAAACCACATTGTATCTGAGGTCTATATTTGTAATGATATCTCATTTGTCCAAACAGAGCTGGCACGAGAACTGGAGTTTAGTGAGGAGAGAATTAACCTGGTACGGATTCAAAACCCCAACTCTCTTCAAGATCAAAGCCACGCCCTTTTGAAACTTTGGGCAGAGAGGGAGGGAAAGCACTCCGATGGTAGGAGATAATAGGGTACGTTTAAACAAGACCAAAGAAGAAGCTCATGTTCCAAACTGAAACATTTTTCTTTTTTTTTTGTGTCATCAGAGACGACGCTGATCAAAAGACTGACTAAGATCAACCGAATGGACATAGTTCACCTCATTGAGACCAAGATCAACAAGTCCCATCAAGACGAGACGTCATCACATACCTATGCAGAAATAGAGAGGACCATAGCTCTGGATCATAGTGAAGGTGTTTAATCTACCATAAAACTTCAGATTAAAGCCGATCCCAGTGAAACTCCTAGTGCCTTCTTCAAGGCGGGTGTGGCTGCAGGTCTTCTCAACCTGCACCCAAATAGTTACCTGGATAAAACAATAGTCCCTAAATTCTACGTGTTGTCAAGCTTGCAAAACAAAAATATAAAGAAGCAGGAAGACACTTACAAAATTTTGCTTAACGAGAACAATGGACAGGAAGGACTTAAGATGGAGATAAAGGTTGAATTAAAGTCTGTCATGCAGAATTGTAATGCTATACCATCTGCGTTAGAAAAACGAAGATATCTTGGTGACGACATCTCTGCAAAACACTAATTGGTGATTATGTATAGAAGTCTCTCTCTCTCTCTGTCTCTCAGTACAGCAGGTTGTCTCCTGTACCAAATAAAGGCAGGGTGTTGCGTTCCCCGAGATTGTTAGGGGATGAGGGGAGTAACAATAAAATAAAACCTAGGGATAAGAAGGAGGAATTAATTATACAAAAAAGTTTTAAATGATTTATTAACAAACTGAAGACAAATGTTCAACACGAAAACAAGCTTCTTCTACAAAACACAAAAGAGATGCCAGTTTTATCTCAAGTAAAAGTCAGAAACTAACAAGCAAGATACTGTACATCTTAACAGTAAGGCCTCAATCAAAACACACTCCTTCCACAGAAGGATCACACTACAGGCTTTAGTTAAAATGTTGTGGTAATGAAAACTTGAGGACTATTGATAAAATTATATGTCTATGTAAAAATTTTAACTAATCCCTTTCCTATCAAATTAATCCATACCTTTTGTCAGGTTTCTCTGCCCTTCATGAAGACATTGACAGCCCAAGACCAGGCAGGCGCACCGAGGCCACACGAAGGAGTCCAGGCTCTGGACAAGACGTTCCCATGGTGTCAGCAGAGGAACTTTCCTGTAGTTTGTCATCACTTCACGACACAACGGGACGATCAGAGGCGGATTCCACAGCGAGAGGCCTTCTGAGAAACACACAGAAAGAGAAACTACAGAAAGAGATGGAGACAGCATAGTAAGTGTTGCAGAACATTTAATATTTGTCAACCCATTTCAGCTGTTTTTCTTTAATCTGCAACAATGGACCAGTGTCTATACTCCTGGACCATTGACAGTATATAAAGATGGATGACACTTCTCCAGCTCCCCCCATTGCACAATAGTGTAGCCAAAATACCCACTGCAATGAGCGCTGACATTATACTGGTGATGTAATTCAAGTCAGAATAGTCTCAATAAAGAGTCTGTCGCAGTATTGACATCCCGCCCCTTCCTCTCACCTCAAAAAGTGAAGACATTTTAAAGTTTCTGTTGGACCTACTTTGTGTTAATTGGCTAAAATGTGTATTGTGTACATTGCTGGAAGAAGAAATTTACTGATTATATAAAATATTAACCAACTTCCGCTCCATTTTTAATTAATGGAGAGCAATTTCTTTGTTTGTTTTTACAGCTCATCAGAAAGAGTGTATGAGGAAGTGGCAGACACGGTACACACAGGCAGTTTCAAACAAGTAAGTCCTTTCTTCACATTGTACCGCACCTCCCCCTACAACCTCCGATCCCATGTGATAGACCCTGTGTACAAAGGGGGACCAAAGTTAGGTGCCCAGATTACCCCACCTCCTTACCCCAGTGTTGAACCATGTGATGATGAGGGGGCAGCTGGCTATGAGGGGGCGGAGTGGGAAGAGGAGTGGAGCTTGGAGTGTCTACAACCCAGCCACTCTGAATACGATGCTCATTATTTGTCACCAGAGCCTTGGCGAGAGTTAGCCAATAGGTCTCGAACGGGTGTGTGCGAGAGTCGACCGCTGTCTTTGATTGATTTTGAAAAAAGCTTGATCGAGTGTGATCAAGCCGAGCAAGACTTCAGGAAACTCTCTATGGAGTTCATGGGAACCAGTGAGGTCTCAGAAAAGACTTCAACAAGCGAACAAAGGCTTCAGACTTCTGTGTCTTCTTCTGGTCATGTTGATACAATGACAGAGTACATGAACACCAAACAAATGTCCGGACAACACATGGACGAAGTTTCTCGGCGACTCTACAAAGTCCTCTATGGATATGATGTTGACCAGGTGGATTCGGAGAGTGAAAATGTATCTGTAGATCCAATGTTTTCATCCCCTGAAGAAGCGATGCAATTTGAAGTCAAGAGGGGTGAAGACAACTCGATGCTTCAGATTGATGTTGACAAAGACATTCCAATTCAAAAAACAGAATTTGTGTTCTCAACCACCTTTGATCAGGTGTCACATGACTCAACTTTTGCACTCATAGATGTTCAATCAGCAGATGATGCTGTGCCTGTTGAGTGTAGCTTTGAAAAAATGCAGTCCCAAAGAAAGGATGAAGCTGAAAATGTGGTTGAAGTGTCTATAGAGTCTACACAAGACATTAGAAAAAACAGATACGGTTCCTGTTTGCCAGAATCTTCTTCTGAAACCATTTGTGTGATTCATAGCTTAGTTCATGATCGTTCATCTTCACCTGAATCTGTGTCTTCAGTAAATGAGATTAATTTTCTTGCCCCTGACTCTCCAATTCCTCAGTTTAGACCCTTATCTCCCTTACCACCTCCGGCTTTTCTTTGGGAAACTTGTGATGTTGGGGCTTCTTTCCAACCATTACTCAGTGCACATGCTGTAGGCACCTCTCTGCTGTTAACGACCAAAGCAGAGGAACGGCCGTTGACACCAATGGTTTCAAACAAAAGACCGTTTGGAAGGCCGCTATCACTAAGTAGTGATTATAGTGGTGAAAGATCAATCTCCCCTCAATCGTTAACTTTTGAGATAGACGACAGAGCGTTATCACCTGAGTCAGTCATTATGGAAACAGTGCAGTGGTTTTTTACATCTTCTGAGCATTCATTATCTGATTTCCATGAGATAAGACAATCATCTTTTGAATCTTTTGAGACAGACACAGACTGTCATCAGCTTCAAACAAACCTCTCTATCCCAGATTTTGGGCAGATCTCCGAATCTCGACCAACATCCCCAGAATCTGTCGCATCTATAAACCAATACAAAGCATTGTCACCTGATTCCCCTATACCTGAATTCAATCCCAACTTGGCGGACTTGGCAATATCTATGATAGGTGAGGGATCTGCTTCCCCTGAATCAGTGTGCTCTGATGTAGAATACGGCTCCATGTCTCCAGAATCACTGAATCATGAAGACAGAGCTTTATCGCCTCCTTCAGTTGCATCTGAAGATGAATATGAATCTGTTTTACCGGTTTTTGAACATACTAAGGGCATACCCTTACTTCAAACAGCTGAATCTGCAGAGGTATTGTTCGGTTTGTTACCTGCTGACCTTTCAACAAAATCGACTGATACTTCAGAAACTGATACAGAGAACAAACCAATAAAACAAGAGGAATCATTATCTGATTTGGATGATGATTGGGTCTTCATATCCTCATCTGATATTGAAGAAAACCCACTTTCACCCCAATCAGTACCTGACAATAACTTGCCTTCACAGCCAGAAATGTTGGACACTAGAGCATCTTCCCCTGAATCAGAAAAACAAAACAAGCCAAACATACCCAAATATAAACCATCCGTGCATCAGCCTGTTTTTATAAATCAACAATCAGCATCACAAGAACCAATTTTGTTAGACACAGAAAATGAGGCTGTATCTTACATTGAGAGTAAGCCTTTATCTCTGGATTCTTATACTTCTGCTGGTGAGCATGAGCCATTGCATTATAATATAAATACAGTACCTCTTGAAAAGGAGGTGACACAAGAACTAACAGAAGCAACAGTATGCACTGAAAAGCATTTAGAAACAAAAACAAATGTAGTGTCTGGTTTAGAAAAGTCAAGAGTTGAAGAAGAAAAAAACTCAACCTGTGTTTTGTTAAATTTGGAAGTAAGCCGTATCAAAAAGAATAAAAAAGAACCTCCTAAGACATCAATAGTACCTTATAACAGTCCGACTGACCACAAACTCATTACAACACAAGCAGAAGCTGAGGTTTTGTCAAGGGATTTAATCAGAGAAGAATTATCCCATGAGTTGTGTGATGAGGGACCATCAAAGGAAGAAATTCACAGATGTAGAACTAGCAAAGCAAAATCTTATAAAAAGAAAAAATCAAAGAAATCAGTCAAAAATGAGCAGAATGTAACACCACCCCAAACAGAACCATCTGACTTTACAACAAAAACATATGAAGAGACAAAAGAATCTCATAAAGATACCCCCACATTGTTGTCTCCAGAAACTGTACCTGAAGATATACAGTCCTCAGTTTCTATTCAACATGACATACCTTTTTCCATACCAGAATGCTCAGTGCCAGGCTACAGTTTAACATACGATGCAGAACTTTGGAAGCTCATCTCTCAAATTCGGGACCCACAGTATGTTGGAGAAACATTTGTGAGTAAGACAGGAATTTTTCAGTTTGATGGAACAAAGACAGAGTCTCATCAATCAGAAGAGGAAGCTACAGATTTACAATCAGAATATTACCAAAGATCACTTACACAAGATTTTGAGGCAGAATATCGACCAATGTCACCGCAATCACTGTTGGGGCTGTATGCATCTCGACCAGAGTCTGCCAACTCAGGGAGATCTGTAGATAGTCAGCAAGCTTTAACACCAGATTCCCCTATTCCTCAGTACTTTACCTCTGTCTCTGAGCACATTTACCACAGATCAGTGTCAACAGAGTCAGTATTGTCGGATCTGGAGACTGATTCGGACATGATACATCATAATGATGAAAGACCAGCATCTCCTGATTCAGTAGCATCTGTAAACATGTACAGAACACTCTCACCAGACTCACCTATTCCTGAGTTTAGACTCTCTTTACAAGAGCCAGTTGTAATATCTCGATTGGATCAGTCTTCATCACTTGAGTCAGTAACATCTGATGTGGAACATGAGTCTGTCTCTGCTTTATTATTCGATGACAACAGACCATCATCCCCAGGGTCCTTTGATGAAAACCAGCCACTTTCTCCTGAGTCACCGATTCCTGTGTTTGGACAGGCTTTTTCCAAGTTTTCAGTTTGTCCAACAGAGGAAAGGTCTTCATCTCCTGTTTCAGTTTGTTCTGATTTAGAATATGAGGAGATGTCTCTCTCACAACAGTCTGCTGATTTGAGACCATCTTCTCCTGATTCAGCTGTCTGTGCAGATGAGTACAGAGGTGGGTCACCAATACCAGAATTCAAAATAGCTATAACGGAGCCAGTAGCCTTTAGTTCTCGAAGTTCTTCTTCTCCTGAGTCTGCAGTTTCTGATGATAAAGATACAAAATCAAGTGTAGGCATTTGCAAGCAGAGACCTGCCTTACCAGAATCAAAAGCATCAGAGAGGCCATTGGTTGTTGGTAATCAACCCGCACCCCTAAAGGCAATAAGAGTGCCAGTGTACAGGCTTGTTTATGATGCTGAGCTTTGGAAGCTCATTTCTCAAATACGTGATCCTCAATATGTTGGAGAGACATTTTCAAGCAAAACTGGAGTTTTTGAGTATGCTGGAACAAGAATAGAGTATGTTCTGGAGGATTCAGATGTGAGAAAGGGGGAGTTAGAGGATGGTGTGAAGATCAATGCTTCAGATTCATCCGGTTCAGATGTTCTACAAGCAATGCCAGCAAAGATTGAGGAAGAAATGCAATCAGCTGCTGGTGCAACATATAGCGCAAACAAGCTGATGAGTCAAATATATGACCCTCATTATGGAGGAGAAGCTGTTCTAGGAATAAGTGAAGTGTTGGAAAATGTTGAGACCGGCAGAGAACATGTTCACCTTGCTCATGATGCAGAAGAGACAGGTAGGCCAATTTCACCTGACTCTGAGGCAGAATATATTCCACTACCACCAGAGGACCTGAAGTTACTGAGTACTCTGAGTAGGTCTGATTCCCAAGAGACAGGGGCATCTATTGATGAGAAGAGACCTTTAAGTCCAGACTCACCCATTACCCAATTTGCTGTCTTAATTCCTGAACCTCTTGTTGGACACCACAGTGCCCCATCTTCTGAACCCGAATCAGATTCAGAACTTGACCAATTTGATGTTGCTATATCTACTGAGTCAAGGTTATCATCTCCTGAATCAGAAGCGTCTTTGAGTAAACATAGACCCCTCTCTCCTGACTCACCAGTTCCTGACTTTGGGCCAGAGTTACAGAACCCTCTTACTTTAGTTGTTGGATATCGTTCATCTTCACCTGAGTCCGTTTCCTCAGATATCGAGGATTCATCAGGATTTCTTCTCTCAGAATTTGGCGTTCAAGAGAGACCAGCTTCTCCTGATTCTGTGTCATCAGAAGTTAACTTAAGGACGCTCTCACCAGAATCAGAGATAGAATTTAGGCCCATGTCACCTGAGTCACTGATGATAACATCAGCATTAAGAACATTATCTCCTGATTCAACAACATCAGTTAACGAGTTTAGGACTTTATCTGCAGATTCTCCTGTACCACAGTTTGGGCAACACGTAGAATCAACCTGGTTTGTATC